GTCAATCCCTCACTGGAAGACTCAACCCTTTCCTCCTCGACACACTGTGTACGTCAATCCCTTTCTGGAAATTTAATCCTTTTTTCCTCAACACACTGTGTACATCAATCATTTTCTGGAAGTCTTTTTTCCTTAACCCATTGGCTATGGCAACTCCTTTCTGGAATTTAGATCTATAGCAGGGATAAGCAATCCTGATCCTGGATGGCCAGTGGGTCTCCAAGTTTTCTGTTGTCTCTTTAAAGCTGCAAAGATACAGTAGAAGAAGCAGTTAAGCTGGTAGAATAAAGCCAATAATGAGCTGAGTTAGAATGAAAACCTGCAGACATACCAGCTCTCCATGACCAGGAATGCTCATCCCCGATTTATAGGAAGTTGCTTCAAATAGCATAGTTCTCAACTCCGGATTTGTCTGGATTTTGTCCCAAATTAAGTTTTTGGTGCTTAAATGAAAAAAAAAATCCAGCTGACCTAATAGGTCACTTAAACATTTTTATTTTTTCAGCTCTTCAACAGTTCGGGATGAGGAAAGGTTCCTATCTTCCAGCCTAGATTGGGGGAAAGGACAATCCAGCACATTCTGGGTATCTTTCCTAAAACGCATCAAGGCTTCCACTTGTTCCATTAGGTCTTTTAAGTGACAAAGAGATCAGGTGAAAAAGAGTGGCTGCCTTTACAGTCAATGTAGCAATTCATGAAAGGCATAAAAGTTTTGAGAATTTTTTTTATTTTTAACTAAAAAGTTCTGAAACACATCAGCATCACACAAATGCTGTGTCGAAAAATGTGTTGAAAGTAGCACTGCTGTATAAAAATAGTTGAAGTTCATGTTACACATGAATCTATTTCTTTAATTTTTAATATTCATTAATGGGATATACAAACATATACATGCAGCAGGGAAACAGGAGAGCACCGGGTACTAATGAGAATTCCTCACAAGGTCTCCTCTTATCAGTAGGCCCTGAGTCTTTGTCACTTGGGGTAACTGTGCCTCATCCCCACCATTCCAAGGTCTCCAGCTCCTGTGACTCTCCAAGCTTCTCCAAGTTCAATGGGAAAACCTTGGCTCTGTTTCTCTAATTCCTTCTGAGATTACTCATCTCTGTATTTTCCCTTGTGGAGAATTTTTACAGGGAGTTTTCTTCCTGTTTGGTTCCTCCTGCTGCTACTTTCTCAGGAGTGCTTCCTTGCTACCATCTTTCTCTGCACTAAGTGGACTTGCACTTCAGAGACGTGTACTCCTTTCCACCTTCTGGCCTTGACACTTCAAACCCCCTTCAGAATTTGTGAATCGTTTAGTCCCCTTCTGGAGAGTGAAGTTTGAAATCAAAATTGGAATGGGAGTTAAAGGGAAGTAAGGGGGTGCAGCTGTGTTCTCCAGGGTTGACCGCATTCTCTTCATCAGCTCCTAAGACTCTTTTCAGTTCCTTAGAGCTCCACTACATTTACTGACGTGGGAATCCCTTATTACTCCTTCTGGCAGTACACTGGTTCACTACCATCATTGTTACAATACTGGTACCTCCTGGTCCTAACACACCTTGATAAAGGGAGGTATGAGAGAATGCACTTGACTGCTCCTTGTTCTTAGGCAGCACCTCCCTCCATCAGTACTGCTTCAAAGTATATTTGTTTCATTACCCTGCGGAAGTCGGGAGCAGATTCTTCTTTTCCCTGTTCCCTCCTCCACATTAATGACACTCTTACATGACAAAATCCCAGTGCTGCCTTAGCATCCTGTTCCTTAGAAAGGTGTTGGCACCCCCTTGTGGTATCTTCTTGTAACTTCATGGCAAACATCAATCTACCATAAAACAGTGTACATAGGAATTTCTGTGCCAATGAAGACATGTTTATGGAATACTTCAACTTTCCCCACATACACTGGGAAAACCTATAGGATTGCGAGGACCAAAAGAAAACGGACATGGTAATGTTAAATAATTGCTTACATTTGCCAGCGGATGGAGCATCTTCAAGAGGAAGCACCATCTTCTACTGATCTTGTCTTCTCAAACAATGAAGTCAGAGCAAGGCAAGGAGAGAGATGAAAGAACCTGAACAGATCAAGTTCAAATGAAAAGTTTAGAAGAAATGGGACAGAACCTAAGAGAATTAAAATGGGACAGATTAGTGGAAAATGGATGGTAAAATTCTATTGTGCTTGAAGCACAGAAAACATATACCCCCAGAGTCAATAAATCAAAGATAAAAAATATGCATCCCAAAAAGTTTAACAAAACTATTAGGAAAAATATAGGGGAAAAACAAGTCATAAAATGAATTAAAAACATATCCAGTTGAAAAAAGTACAATGAATTTCAAGTACAAATACATGATTTTAGACAGGTGAGGTAAGAGATGGAAAACAATATTGCACTGGATACAAAATAAAATGTTCTTTCAGTACTACTACGGTAGAGGGACAATTAAGGAAATCTGTGCTAGCTCTGTCAGCCTCTCCCTAGAGATTGATCAATCCATTCATCCATTTTCTATCCACTTCTTCCAATTCAGGTTTACCTCCCAGAAAGCAAAGGGCAGGGGGCAGTATACACCGTGGATGGGATGCCAGGCCATCGCAGGGTACACACAGACACAAGGGTCACACTCCAGGATCAATTTTCCTATAAGCCAATTAACCCACTAAGGAAACCCACACAAACCCGGCGAGAACATACAAACTCTGTGTAGATAGCACCCCAGGAACTGAACCCAGTGCCGCGAGGCAGCAAAGCTAACCACTGCAGCACAGTGCCTCCCCCTTGACATGGCTCATCTTGGATATGTTTTGATGAGCTGTAAGCACGAAATAGTCAGGAGAAGTCACAGGACAAACCTTTAGTTGACATACAGGTCTAGTATGTTTTCTCTGTGTATAATTTATTGTCTTATTTGGAAGAATTGTCTTATTTAAAAACATGGCTTGGGAGTGCATTCCATTATCCATTACTGAAGACTCGTGTCTTCAACCCAGTTCAAAAAGCCCTACAAGTGGAGAAACGTTACCAGTTGTGAAAATCCTTTACTCAGATTACAGCTCACTAGAGAGAGGAATAATCATTATTGATCTGGGGTTGCTACTGTTTCATACAAAAAACAGGTGTGCCCTTTGAGCTGCTTCTCTGCTGGGAATGTCGTTTGAGCCTCCAGTTTTTCTGCAAATTTCCCTCTATCCCTGAGGCTCGACAGAAAAGTTCTCATAACATATGTCTTGCTTTTCAGCATTTCAATAGAAACATCAGACCCAACAGTGTGAGGAGCAGCAGGGGCCAAGAGCAAGGAACCTAGAGCAGGAGATACAAAAGACACCAGATAGGACATCAGCCACCAGGACACAGCAGAAATTAAATTTAGTGGCATAGTGGAAGGGGATATACCTGAGAACAGAGACTAGGGGGATTTAGGATTTGGAACAGTGGGGGAGGAGTGAACAGAACAAGAGAGCAGAATAAGAACATAGAGGAAGAAAGTAAGATGATCAGACAAATGGGTAGAAAACATTACTCTTTCACTGCACAGCGAAAGCCTCGAGGATTGTAAGAATGCTTGCAAGTGTGTAAACCACACAGGAGATCTATATCTTTAGTATTTTTATAGCATTTCGAGAAGTGGTATCATGGAGGATTACAAGTTAGAACAGCAGAGATGAAGGGGAACTTTTTTCACTTTTTAGTGGTTCAGCAGTTTAATTCCATGGAGACTGAATAGAGTTAAAAGCCCATAGGGGAAGAAGTCTCCCCCTTAAATGTAAGAACCTGTGACTTATCCCAAGCAGGAATTTACAAGAATGTGGGTTTTCTCACATTTCAGTGCACAAACGGGATGTTTTTGATGTTCAGTGAGCTAGCACGACCATTAGGAGTCCTGTAAATCACGAGACATTCAGCAGAAGAGTACTGCAGAACAACAACAGAAACACCACTCCTTTCCATCTCACCTGTCTGAATCGGCAAACTGGGAATTGTTACTTCGTATTTGTTTTGTTTTCCTAGTCCTGCCTAAGAACCAGGACAACAACTCACTGGCGATTCCCGAATCTACCAATATAGATCACTTTTACAACATTAAATTCCTTTCATATTTTACAAAGTGGATAAAAACATGAATTCAAAAGTAATAAAGGCATAAAATAGAAAGTATTAAAAGGCCAAGGATGATTTCCCAGGACAACATAAAAAGAGACTAGCAGGTTTGCAACACCTTTCAAGCGACAGATTTTTAAGTCATTACAAGCAGTCCTTAATTTTTTAAAACCTTTTGAAAGTCAACTGATTGTTAAAGCCATTCTGATCTTTATACTGAACCCAACAGGATCGCACAGTGCACAGCACTGCCCATTTTCAGTTGCAACCACTTTGCGTACTCATCACAACTGGTAATAAAAGATACGTTCAACAAAGGTTGGAAGATAAATAAGGTTTTAAGCAAACTTTCAAGTCTCACGAACCTGATGAACAACTGGTTTTGCAGGCATAACAGAATCCGAAAAATGCCCAGACAACCAGCAATATTAAGTTGGAACTGGCATTCCCTGTGACCTGTTATTGGGGCAGGACTGGACCCCAGTTCTTAACAGCACTCATTACTGGGTATCAGACACCACTATCAGGCCAATATTCACCAAATTAGCAAATGTGAAGCAAGACACAGCTCAGTGTTGCTATCACATTCGTTCTCCCCCAATCAGCAACGCACAACCCAGTCAGTATACTCTTGACATAGTCAGCAACAGCAAAGTACAGTGTAACACAATATTCAACTATAGGAGGCGTCCTCATGTTCGTGCTCTCCAATGAAACAGCTGAAAACAATTCAATTTGTTTATTTAGAGTAACAGCTCTTCTGTAGTGGTCTTCTGCCACTTACTTTCACATTGTGTAATATACTAGCTTAAGTCTTGTATTTAAAGCCTCTGACAAATAAGGAAATAGTTAAGTGCTTGTTATATTCTTCCAAGTACAACATCTTACACCTGCAAGTTATTCACATGAATTTATTTGAAAACTGTATTTTGTAGTTCAATTATTTTAACAAATGTTCATTAAAATAAAGCCAAAATACACCACTGAGATTTACTAACTCACTATTCTACGGTATCCTCGCTGAAGCCCCATTGTAAACATGACAGTTGTGTCATGATAGTCCATGAAGTGTGAAAACTTGTTTACATTGCCTGCAACCACAAGATGTAGCTTCAGCAGTAAGAGGTGCTATTGCTTTTACTACATTAACTAACTTTTTCTAACCAATCAATCTCCAGAAGATGACCAAACCCTCCCTACCGGAGGTACAGTAAATGGTTAAAATTATTTTATGATTCACTTTAGTCTTACTGTGACATTGTTTTAGTGGATGAAGGCAAAGTTGACTTTTGCATTTAGTTAAATGGTTTCACAAAGAGACTTGCAATACATTTTAGTAATGACAATCATGTTAAATATGGTGTTACAATTTTTTATGGTTTCATTAATTCATAGTCTTAAACCACTCTACATCATCATACTGGTATACCATACCTACCCCAATATCTAATACGAAATCAAGAAGCAGCAGCCTTCCAAAACTCTGTACATAAAGTTGCCCTATAACGGACAAGATTTATTCAGAGCAGTTTCAGGCCTCATCATTATTTCAAGTTAGAGGAGTAGGTCTCACACACAAAGCACCACACAGAAGAGGACCTTATTCTCAAAACTGCAGCTGAAAAGGTTTGCATAATCCCAGAAAGAGGAAGCTCTCTGAACTTTTTGCTCCTTCCTGTGTCACTTTATCATGGTCCTTCCTGTGTCGATAATATTTGGAGGCTCAGATTGTAAAAGCCTAGCTATTAAAAGCCAATCAGGAATGTTTCAAAACACATGGGAGCCACACCTGTCAAAGATGGGTTAAAGATACTACTGTACTTCAACAGCGAAAACTGCTTAAGTATTGCAAATGCAACAGTCCTGAAAGGTGCAGCCTACACCTTACAAACATATTAGGTTTCTCAGAAGCAACCATCAAAACAAGTAAAAGACTGAACTGCTCACTGCACACACTGTTACATGCCTAGTACCTATTAACTACAACTGTTACTGCTGTTGTATAAACTGTACTTCCTGCAAATTTCCTGGGATCAAGGCAAGAGATACATTTTTTAATTGTACATAGATTATAAATTGATATTAATTACAATCTATGCCAAAATGTGAACTGGCTAAACAATCAATGTCTGTTGTATGTAACAGTAAGTCACATATTCGCAATTGTATTTAGTTGGGCAGTGAACGTTCTGCATTTGGAAGTTCACAAACTCAACAACAGGAAGTGTTTGTATTTACATTTGACTTCACGTCTGATGGCAAGATCCCACTCCTTCAGTGGCTGCCTGCGAGTCGAAAGGAAATCCTTCTCACCGAATGCAGCAGGTCAACATCTATCCAGTGTGAACTCGCAAGTGCGCCTTGAGGTTTACAAGCTGAATGAAGGTTTTTCCACACTGTATGCACCAATACGGTGCCTCTCCCGTGTGAAGTCGCTGGTGTCTTTTAAGGTTAGACAACTGGCTGAAACTTTTCTCACAGTAGTTGCAACAGTGTGGTTTCTCCCCCGTATGAATTCGCTGGTGGGTTTTAAGGTTCACTAAGTGATTGAAGCTCTTCCCACATTGGGCACAGGAGTGTGGTTTGTCTTGGTTGTGAATCTGTTGGTGCATTTTAAGATACCGCGATCGGGTGAATCTCTTCCCACACTGGGCACACTCATAGCAGCCCTGGTGGTTTGCAGCAGACTCTGCCACGTCCTCGTCTTCAACCTGCCCGGTCCTGTGCTGTTCACCAAGCTTCTCCCTGCCCCACTCCTGCTGCCCAACAGGAGACCTTGCTCCATCTTCACAAGCAGCACTGGCTTCTACAACCCCTTGGACAAAATGTGGAGAAAAAAAAATCCTATGAAAGGAGCATTAAAAATGACATTTACCGTAATATTTCTACAGTATGCCAGAAATAAGAGGGGGTCAAACTCATTTTTTTATTGTGGGCCATATTGTATTTGATTTAAATGTACTTCAAGCAGGCCATACATACCATACATGATCAAAATACTTGGTGGAACTATTACATAACATTTCTTATTTGTAGTATGTTGTTATCCTCTCTTTATAATGCAATAGGCAGCCATTATGTCTAGAATAGAAGCTAATTTATCAATTGCTTTTTTCTTTCAACCTCACGAAGTAATTTTTTGCTGATAAACATACTTCTTATTTTTAACCCCACATCAGCAAAATATGCAGCGATCGATTCAAGTGCTACAAATGCAAAGAAAATGTCCCCTGGCTATAAAAGCCTAACAATAGATAAAGCACTGAAAATGCTGCTTTTTAAAAATTGAAATTTACATAAATTGCTGTGCTGATCAACAGTTCACATTGTTTACACATCTTAACTATGGCACTATGTTAAATAAGCTATTTATCATGAATATGCACAAGTAGTATTAATGAAAATTCAGTATTCCTAAGGTAAATTAGGAATTCTGGGGAATTTTAGACACCAGGAATTAGCAGCAAGTATTTAAATGTGTAGAAATGCTAATTTAATTATTTTATGAACATTCTCATTACTATCAATTTTGAGGAATGAATTTTCTTGGTAAAACCAAGGCTTGGGTCTATACAGTGGGTATAGAAAGAAAAAATGTTTGGAATGACTTGAAGGAGGCAGTCCATCAACAGTCACCACTCAACAGTTTGACTGAACGTGAACAATTCTGTAAGGAGGAATGGGCAAATATTCCTCCCTCTAGGTGTGCAAAGTTGGTAGAGATGTATCCAAACAAACTCAAGGCTGTAATTTAAGCAAAAGGTGCTTCCACTATGTATTAACTCAGGGGGGTGTTCTCTTATCCAACCCAGTTATTCAACTTTTTTATTTTTCAGAAATTGTGCTTTATTCACTTGGATGTTGCAAGGTACAATCTGTAAATATAACTGGAAAAAGTCTGATTTTGTCTTCTTTTTGGGCTTTAGGGCAATAAAAGGTGAACATTTTGAAAGGGGATGGTGACTTTCTATACCCACTGTATATATCCATCTGTAAATTACAGAATCGAAATGCAAATTTGATAAGATTTTAGCTTAGATCACCTAGAATCTATGCCCGAGTGTCAGATAAGACAGATAAGTGTGATAAGTGAACAACAGTTTGCCTTGTTTTATGATTGGTAGATCTTATAGATTTTTTAACTGGGAAACAAAACTGGCAAAAAGCAAGGTTAAAGGGACAGTGTGAAACAACAAACACACCACAAATGCTAAAGGAAATTAAAGCTGTTTTTTTGCACAAACTTTCAAACAAGGGTTCTGCAGTCTAAAGGTAGCTTCTTCTGTCATTAGCCAGTTGTGACAGGAATATGTAAGAGACAGGGCACAAATGGCTAATCTGTGCAAGGGTTAAGTGGATTCGGTCAGTCCGGGACTGTTTGGCATCCAGTATCAGTGACCCTGAGGTGAGAAGGTGCACCTGCGAGTTGGTGATGTCATATGTCTTCCCTCTGATTCCTGATCCCACTAATGTCCAGTGTTGTGTCTGTGTGTATACATAAACATTAACCTACTCTTATACTCTAAATACCCATATTACCCAATCTGACAGCAGTGTGTCTTAAGGTATGCACAATCTTTAATCTTGTATTAATCTTAAAAATTCTAGTAGCTGATTCTTCTAAAACATAATCTGTTAAATTACCTTTCCTACTGATTTTCAGTCCTCTCTGTAGGTGACTGTTGGTCAATTTGTCCTCTGCTTTTTCGTCTTCAGTAACTAGTAAGTCAGGTCTGTGCTCCCCCATCGTCGTAGACTGTAACAGAGGAGTGTGAGGGTTTACACTCAAAGGCTCCCCAATCCTATTTATCATTACATTTGTTTTAAAAAGAGTGCAATCTCATGCCATTGAAAGCAGAATACAAACAATCATAAAAAAAGAACTATGTGAAAATGATAAAGAAAAAAATATACTGATGGAAAAAAGAAACACAACATTTTCTGGAATGGGAATACTATAGTTACAGCAGCTTATGTACTTTCACAAAAAGTTGTCAATTGGTTTTATGCCCTCTGACCAGCAATACAGCAATGTACAGTGAGGCATTGCAACTTGCCAATCACACAAAAGCTCGTTAGGTGCACTTTTACCCAGTGAGGTCCAGGTGGAAAAATGCCTGATCAGGTCACTTTTAAAAAGGTCTTAATTCAAAGCTGCAACAGAAAGGCCACACTTAGTCAGTTTTCTGTGCATTCCATAATGCCTCAAATGTCACCAGAAGCAAGGGAGAAGGCCATTGGCGAGCTGCAGGCAGGCATGACATGTGCCAGTATTGCCAGACACTATGGAGTAAGTTGTTCCACTTTGTCCCAGCTGCAGGGAAGTTTTCAGCAGACTGGCAGGACAGATGACCATCCAAGATCCAGTCACCCTCGAGTGACCACACCAGAACAGGACAGGCACATCAGACTGGTCCGAGAGATTGTTTCAGATCTGTCATCCCTACTGCTGCAGAAACTATCGGCAGACAATGCCCGCATCAGTGACAGGACAGTGAGGCTCCATGCTGCTGGCCTTAGAGCAAGGCGACCTGTCAGAGGCCCTCTGCTCACACCTCCTAGAAGTCACACCCGACTGGCTTGGGCCAGACAGAGGCTGCGATGGACTCGTCAGCAGTGCCATCAGGTCCTCTTCACGGATGAGTCACTCTTCAGCCTGTTCCACACAGACGGTAGGGCCAGAGTGTGGAGGTGGAAGTGTTGCATTTCTTTTTTCCATTGGCATACTTTCTGCTAAAGAAGCTGCTAAAAAGGTCATCATAAACATATTCCTGCGTTGAGACTTTCACAGCAAAAAGCCTACAGCAGTAACTTTAAAATTCCTTATCTACCAATAAATAAATATTTGCTAATCTAATGCAGAAGATCTGTGGACAATAATCTAATTTAATTGAAATTTAAATGAAATTGAAAGCACATAGTTCCATCATTAAAGCCTGACAAATTGTAACAAATGATTTTTAATTTACTGGGGAATTTGAAATAAAATTAAACAATCTATAGATATTTTACATCCACGGAAATGTATCCATATGCATGTTTTTTTAGAAATATGAAGCAAACTTAATTTGGATCTTTATTAAATGGTTTGGCATAATTTTGATTGCCCTTTCGGACCACAAAACACTCAAGTGACTTTGCTGCATAAGCATTAAATCACCTCTTTACCGAGATAATTTATGGGGCACAGGTGGTGAGGTGATTTGAATCTGTTTAAAGTTAAGCAAGTAAATACGGAAAAGTTCCAATATATCTTGCTCATCAAGAGAACACCACCTTTGTGACATCAGCATATTTGAGGATGGATTACAGCACACTGTCACTTTGCCATCTGTTCCTAGCTTGGCACAACATTACAACAATCCATCAATGACAGGCCATGATCACAGGACACGCCACCTCTCCAGAATCAATGGGGAGTCCAAGTATGATGGTCTGCTACAGACTTCAACTTGTAGTGATCGATGGACTGCACAGTGCTGCACAGATCAAGAACCTCCCCCAATGCTCTTCTTGCAAGCTCATTCTGACATAACAAAGCACCTGCTGCAGTGAAAGGCTTTTCTTTTAAATGACAGAATGGAGATCTCTGCTACTCCATCTGTCCGGTGCTGAATTTTTATAACACCATTCCACAAACGAATCGGGGCATGTCAGCTGCCTCTACCCATTTAATTTCCTTGCCAGGGGACTGGTTACTTGAAGAGGAGTCACCATGTTTGTGTGGGACAGTACAGAAATGAACAAACGAATAGGAATTTCCCCTGTAATGAGGAGGCGTTTCCTCCAGACTGCTCACCTCCTCCTTAATGAAGGCAGGTTCCGCCTCTGTCAAGAAAGCAGGATCCAGCTCAGAGTCGTCAGTCGCAGCCCCAGCAGCGTCCTTCCCTTTCCACTCTGCGGTGCTACGCAATTGTCTGTCAGAGACGTTCGGCACAACAGAACAAGCGTCTCCCTTCCTCCCTGCAGAGAGACACCGAACTCTGTCCTGAGCCACAGACTGAGCAGCTTAGGTCTTGGGAAAAAAAAAACACACACCACTGCAACTGCTAATTCTGTGACAGACCGCATTTAATCGGGAAGGGTTTTTCTTCAACTTTACAACCGTCTGTGCAAGTCAGGTGACAGAGCAGCAGGTAGAAATATCTTGTCAAGAACGAGTAACAAAACTCTGGGAAACGGACAAGGAAAAAAAAAGTCCCACTTGCTCTCCGACATCTCCTGTCACTTTTTCTTGTGCGAAGCCCTTTAGAATCTGCCCCTTCCTTACCAACTGTTCTACGCAGCTCCTAGGCAGTCCAGACACAAATACTCTGCTGCGTGGACTATAGTGCCTCGCCCTCGCCTGGCCTCCTTGCCAACACTATCCACCCACTCCAGAAGCTCACCTTGTCTTTTGCAGCCTGCCTGCTGGCTCCCTACTGCCAGCAGCAATTCAAACCACTCGTCCTCCCTACCTGCTGTCTCAGCCTCTCTGCCCCTTCCTGTTCTCGGGCTCTCACCTCTCACTACACCACCCTCCTCACCAAATGCCAAAGTTTCTGCTGTATTGGTTTAAGTTGCTAGTAAAAAGAAACAATATAGAATATAGTTTGAACATCTACCTCAGAAAATAGTCTGAATGGCAATTAAAAATTACAATTGTATGAAAGTGATCTTAACTGTTAGCCTTGGGATACAGAAGCTACTTTTGCAGGTTAAAAGGCAATCATCAATCCATTTTTGACTAAATTGTTTAGGACCAGATCAAATGCCTTGATTAGCACAGACTAGCTGTTTATTCTAAATTCATTCCCTCTCAGTTCAACAAGCTATACGGATTGCATGTCAGCGACAAGAGCAAAAGTCAATTTGTTATGCATATCACCTGAAAATTCAATTCTGCCCATCAGAAGAATCATATTTTTAAAGATTCTTTTATAAAGGTTGATATTTTCAGAACCAGGAAAGATTCAAAAATGACATTTTATCTGGTTTAGAAATCTTAATTAAATCCTTTGTCAAATTATATTACCCATCTGACACAACTAAAACCAATGGGCTTATTTTTAGCAATGGAAATCGTACTACGATATGCTAATTGCGTTAATGAACGCCCAAGCCAGTTGTGTGTGACGTCTAGGAGGTGTGAGCAGTGGGCCTCTGACAGGTCGCCTTGCTCTAAGGCCAGCAGCATGGAGCCTCACTGTCTTGTCACTGTTGCAGGCATTGTGTCTACCGGCAGTTTCAGCAGCAGTAGGGGTGGCAGATCTGAAACAATCTCTCAGATGGACCAGTCTGATGTGTCTGTCCTGCTCTGGTGTGGTCACTCGAGGGCGACTGGATCTTGGAAGGTCATCTGTCCTACTGGTCTGCTGAAACCTTCTCTGCATCTGGGGCACAGTGGAGTGGCTTATTCCATAGTGTCTGCCAAAACTGGCACATGACATGCTTGCCTGCAGCAAGCCAATGGCCCTCTCCCTTGCTTCTGGTGACATTCGAGGCATTATGGAATGCACAGAAAACTGACTAAGTGTGGCCTTTTTCTTGCAGTTTTGAATTAAGACCTTTTTAAAGGTGACCTGATCAGGCATTTTTCCACCTGGACCTCACTGGGTAAAAGGGCACCTAATGAGCTTTTGCGTGATTGGCAAGTTGCAATGCCTCACTGTACAAGCTGTATTGCTGGTCAGAGGGCTTAAAACAAATTAACAAGGTTATAAGCTATAACTATAGTATTCCCATTCCAGAAAATGTTGCATTTCTTTTTTCCATCAGTATAGTTCTAACGTTATTTAATCAAAACGGTGGAGCTCCTAACAAAGGTATATTACATTAACTGAATAATTTTATTTACAATTAGGTTTCTCTGTAGCAGTACAGAAACTAGAATAGAGAGATTAAATACAGTAAAAACCTGAAAAAACTAATCCTCTCTCTCCCTGTCAATTCTAATACCATAAGTATAGTAACAAAAGAGTGATCCCTGTAGCCAATCCCAGCAATCCCATGACATCCACCCTGACTTACCTGCTAGCGTTCCTCTGACTTCTCTACATTTTCCCTCTTCCGGATCCTGAACTCCAACACTGCGGCTCCTCACACACCATGCATTCTTTCCCACTGGGATTATCCCGTACTCTTGGTGTGCTCTCAACTCCTTCTCCAGTATCCGCAACCTCATTTTCAGAGCTTCGTTCTCTCTCTTACTCTGGGCTATTTTGACGTGAAAATCGGTAAAGCTGCCTTTGACGAGTTTGGTAATTTCGCAGACGGCTGCTTTTACCAGGACCTCCATAACGGCTGTGAGCTGGGTTTGGAAAGCTGTCACAGAGTCCGCCATTGTGTGGGATCCAGAGACAGCTCTTTCAGGTGTCCTCAAGAGTTCTCTCACTTCAGCCACGGGGGACTGTTCTCTCGGGTGTGGCGGCTTAGAAGAGCCCTTCCTGTTTTTTTCTTTCCAGGAACTTTTGAAAGAAATGTTATTTTATTGCAAAGCTCGCAAGCGAATAGATCAGTTAGTGTCACAATAAAACAACACACAAAGCTAACCAAGATACAACATTGTCAAACAGACAAATAGGCAAATTCACACAACACTCTGTCATAAAACTTGGTTTTACATTCCTTAAAAATAATCAAAATGCTACATATAAAACAGAATAATACAAAAATATTAGTCATAACCCAAAGTCATGCAGCACAATGTCTAAATGATATGACTTATTGCATGCAAATACATTAATTCAGAACATAACCGTTTCTTAAGAATCATCAGAAAACCTCTGACAAAGCTTAGGTCTGACAGACTAAACATGCAGACCACACTATATACATGAAGACAGTACAACTTCTGCAGTGTTGGGAAGCTATGTCTTGGATTTTCCACCTGATCATGGCTAGAAATTAAAAGATTGACTTCCCAACATTATAGACATAGCAATCACTTGCAATGAAAATACAAATCCACACCACATGGATATTAAAAAATCTCAGCGTTTTTTTTTACATGACTAACATGCTTTGTTATTGAGAATCCCAATTTCTTGGAAGAGAAGTGGAAATTGTTTAGTTCACAAATAGGGTGATGGCAATAAGGTCATTTAAGCATAGTGAACTTCGAATAAATGTCCTTATCAAAAAAGCGATGAAATTCTGGGCTGCCTAGTTCGGACTTTTCTAGTGGTTTCAACATCAGGCATATTTTCCATTCAACGAGACAGATGATTACTGTGCGTTACACGGTCCTAGATTTCTAATGTGGGACTGTTCTCCGGTTTGACCCTAACCACTGTACGTAACTGATTTACAGCATGGTTTGAACTACAGATGCACCTGACAAAATCAAGGTCTGTCAAACGAAAAATGTTACAGTAATTTAAGTACAGTCATACGTAGCGCCAGGTGCTGAACGAACACAAGACCACTCATACATATGTGCTGCACACGGGATCTCTTGAAATCAGCCCCTCCCCCTTATCTCTTTTGTATTGAATGGTACGATAGATACCGGACAGATTGCACAGCTGGTTTGAGTTTAAGCGCATTAAACCACGCTAAAGCTTTTGCTGCTCTACATCGAGTGTCAGGATGTCTAAAAATACAAAATGCTTAACTACTAGCCAAGTCATAGTTAACCAAACGTGCGTTTAACTATCACATCTAAGCAAATAAAAGCTGATCTTATTTATGGATCTAGAACAGTATCCACAAACTTCACATTAACGTGACTACAAGAGCTATCCGGAAGGCTTGAAATGGGTTTTAGCGAGTGCTCCGCTGAATACCATAGTTTAAATTTCAGACTCAGGTTTTTGTTGATTGAATATTTAATTACCAGTAAACGATCATGCAAAAGCCTTTAGAAAATATTTTAGAGATTCTGGAGTGAAGCAAACCGCAACAGTAAATAAGAAACAAATGTTGCACAAAGAACTCACCGACAACAAACGAACAGGGCCACGGCGCGCAGACGGGCACGAGCACCGAACCGGAGCCTGAGTGACCGCATGACTTACGGAAGCCTCCCAGACACAAACACAGCGAACTCCTAGCGCTCCAATGGAGGACAGGGATTGCTGAAGGTTTTCTGGCACTCCTAGTCTTCTCCATTCCTCGTCGCTTTCGTTTATCGCATCGTTATCGTTTCAATTGCAATATTTTCTTACTTAGCAAAAATGAGATTGAATTACTTTTAAATTGGTAGCGAGTATGGCGTTGCATAGCTGTTTAACCAAGAAAATCAATTGAGAGCAAATAACGACAACCTGTAGATTCACTTGTGCAGCAGGGCATGTACTGGAGTACAATCGCAGAATTTAATCCCTTAAAATGTTGGGGTCTCATTGCCATTTCCATTCAGGGACAGTAAATTTTAATGGATTTACCTATTTTATGGAACACACAGACGGAGAATAAACGGTTTTCTGGGAATAGACGCATCTAGATCATCTGTACCCTGAAATGTGACTCTACCGATGTGCTGACACATAATCGCATCATTGTATATGATACAATCGGTCATCAAAGCTGACAAGTGCAGAAGGTCCTGTGTCTAGCAGCGCTAAGCGCAGGACGATTTAGCCCTGGAGCTAACGATCACACTCTGTTCAGTCCTCCTCCTTCAGAAGGGGATCGTGGAAAATGAGAAAATCATTTGTCGGCATCAGTGGATCCGTACTAAAGCCAGTGCAAGTAACAACAGCCAGGTAATAGTTTTTATTATTAAGAGACGAAAGAACAATACAAACATGCTAAAAAGCTTGTCGCCGAGCGGACTAACCCTTTTGCGCTGCAAAACTACAAATCACACAATCCGCCACGCTCAGCCTCGCCCGGTACTCTGACTCTCCGACTCATTGATCACCACGGCTGCGGGATCAAAGACAGGAAAACACGGAAGTTGCCTCTAGCTGAAGTACTGAAGTAAGCCTGGTAAAATATTTTTTCGTTGTTTGAAACAATAATTATATTCAACTGATTGTGTGTTTGTTTTTATCAATAGGACAATAGAATCGTATTTCCTTTATTCCTTCTCTGTATACAATGTTATTGTCTTGTGATTTGGTCAGTGAAAAACTCAAAAAGTTTATTGCAGTTTTATTCTGTACAGTATTATAACCTTTACCAGTGTGTTTAACCCTGGTTCTAGAGGAACACTGTGTCTGCTAGTATTCACCCAAGCTTACTTGACAATTCCAATGCTAATAGTGACTTATTCGTTTACTTACTTATTTTTAGTCTTATTTAATTTTCTCTACGGTTAGTCCTACGTGATCAAGATATCTAACTTCAAAAACAAAGGTTCCATGTAGTATGGACATGCAGAACTATAAACAGCCTCTGCTCAACTTGTGGGCTTTTGATTCTAACTGAACAGCTCCCACCTGTTGATCAGTGAGGATCTAACTATCAGACACACAACACGAGCATTTTGTCCTTCTGCAGAGATACAGTTGGTTATGTTTCAGGCAGCACACCTGAATGAGGGCAGTTCTGAAACTCAGAAACTGGAACAGGCTTGATACCAATGACACATCCCATTCCTGACATTTGAACTGAAGGCAAATTTCAGTTTACTATTTGGGGCATATTTGTAAATCAGTGATTAAGATCAGTGATCAGTGGTTAAGAGCTTGGCTGCTGTAAGTGATCTTTTGATGGTGAGTGTATTTCCTTCTTTGGGAGAGGTGGGTGTGGAAAATCCTGCTCTGTGTTTTCCAGCGATGGCGGCAGACGGACAGTCCTTACCTTCTGCAGAGTCCAGTACGGAGCCAGAGCCCAACAACTCTGACTGCCAGCGTGTGGGAACAGGGACAGGAAATGAGGGAAACAAACGGGAAATGTCACCAAGTGACAAGAAAGGTAAACCTGTATCACAGGAACAGGTTCTGAAGAGACCTTCCTCTGTCTTTCTATGTGCTGAGAGAGTTACAGAAATCTTGTCTCCCCCTTCTAAAATAAGATAAAATCACTTTATTGGCCATATGCGGTTTCTTGCATTGGGAATGTGTCTTTTCACATACCCCAACTTGCTCTCCATGAGACACACAGACAGGGAGAGAGAGAAGCTTGGGGTCAGAGTGCAGGGTCAGCCAATTATATGGCACCCCTGGAGCAGTTGGAGTTAAGGGCCTTGCTCAGGTGTCCAACAGAGTAGGATTCATCTGCCGGCCTCGGGATTTGAACCGGCAACCTTCCAGCCACAGGTGCAGATCCTTAGCCACAGAACCACTGCTCCACCACTGTCTAAAATCTAGACAGTGTGATAAAACTGTGCTGCAGAGCAGGAGCTGATCTTTTGGTTAGTTGGAGTATTTAACTGGGGAGGGAGTGGCGCTGTTTACAGTCAGTCCTCATGAGCAAAAGGGATGAAATCCTGAAAGGGAGAGGGAGAACTGCATTCACATTAGTGCTGTGATTCAGATTCCCCAAGTATCCCATCACTCAGGCTGCCAAGGAAGAGAAGGAGACATTTTGAACTAGCAGCAGAGGACGGCCTTTGGCACAAAGTTGCTTGATACAGGCTTAAAGCTGGAAGACAATCCACCAGAGAGTCAGCCACAGGCACAACATGGCGCGCAGGGTCTGGCTCATGCGGGAGGCTTGTACTTGTGCCACTAGAGTACAAAAACTTGGTTCATCTTGGTTGTAGGGAAGATCTTTTCCTTCTCATTGCTCATACTGTTAAATTCTAGATATAACTTTTTATCTTATCATTGTCATTTCTGTCTCGGGCGACATGCCTTTTGTATACATATATATTTGTGCACGTCTCTTCATAAAACAAGGTCCTGGAGAGCCCCAGCCCCTCAGGGTTTATAGGTACCGTCCCACAGAGAATGAAGCATTTCCCACTTCAGAATATCATCAGTTTAACGCAGTAGACACCCTCACATATGAAATCACCATTCCTTATTTTGCTTGAACAGTATACTTATTAAATACTCCAAAGCATTTTTGTTAAAAAAAATAATATTTGTTTATTGTGTTCTAAAAACAATTCTGAACTTCTGCAACTCTTTCTTGGGATTAGTTAAAACCTACCCCCATATGTTTGTTATATTTATACGTCTATATACGTATAAAAGGAAATCCAGGTCCCAGAAGTGGGAGAGACTTTCGTGACGAGGTACTTGCTGATACCCGTCCAGTGTCAGGCAAGTCTCCCAGCTTTCAGGACCATGAATCAGAATCTCTTTTCCTGTGCAGCGGAGGTCTGTGATAATTAAACTGTTCATTTTGTTCAGGAGTGCTTGATTTCTGTTTGAAATCTCCAGAGTGTTTTAAGTCGCCTCTAAAACAAATCCATGAAGAACTTTCGAAAGCTCAGTTTTTTTTTTAAGGATTGAAAAGGGTGAATAATTCCAGCAGAGCACAGCATTCATTTCGCTAGGGCAGAGTTCACCTGTAATGGAAACGTGAAGGAGGGCAAGGTTGACTGTAGATACAGCCGAGCTCACGGGCATGTCAATATACAGAGAGGCGCAGCAATGCAGGTCTCAGCAGTGGATGTTTTACTGCAGTTGCAGGAAGTGATGACAGGAGGGAGGATGTCAACACAGCAGAGAAGGAAGGACTCTGCCAGTTCTTCCTGAAGGGGAAGTGTCACTTTGGGAATCGCTGCTGGAGGTCACACAGGTCAGACCAACAAACAGACACATTCATTGATTAATTCAGCTACTGACAGTTATTGATTGACACATGTATGTAACTGATTTCCTTTTGAAGCAATTTAAAATTTCCTTCAGTTAAATTGTGATAAGACTGAAGTTATGCTTATAGGCACCTCCCATCATCTATGTAAAGTAACATGCAGTAACTATCTGTGGATGGAACTGTACTTGAATTTCAGTCTAAATAGAAAAACTTGAAGGGGATATTTTGTCCAGGATTGGCGTTTGACCCTCATGTGCAACGTATTGGAAAAAACATCATTCTTCCACCTCAGAAATATCGCCAGACTACATCCTATGTTGTTGCTAAATGTTGTTGAAAAGCTAGTTAACACTTTTATCTTCTCTCAAATCAATTCCTGTAATGCCCTACTTGTTGGGGTATCAAAATCCACACTGAACAAACTTCAGCATGTCCAGAATTCAGCAGCCTGAATTCTGGTCTAGTGCAAGTCAAGGTCTAGTGCAAGTGATCACATTACTCCTATCCTGGAGTCCTTGCACTGGCTTCCTATCAGGTTTTGTGTTAACTTCAAAACCCTCATGCCTCAGCTATGAGGCTCTACATGGCTGGGCATCTTTGGTATCTGTCTGACTTACTATCATTGTACTCCCCATCTTGCAAACTTTGTTCTTCCAATTCTGTCTGTCGTATAGTCATATGACAATCTCCTGTCTGTCCCATGTAGATACTATGGGCATCAGGGCCTTCTCCTGCAATGAACCAAAACTCTGGAATTATATCCCAAAATATATCAGAGAGTCACCTTTCCTGAGCCCTCAAGACTTCAAATCAAGACTTCTTCTTTAGAAGGGCTTGTATTTAACCAGTTCTGCATCTGCCCCATTGCTTTCCAACTGTATTCCAGACCCTTTTTGTAACTGTCGTCCTGCTGTCTCCTCTCATCGTGTATTTTTTCTTTCTATAAAACGCTTTGAGAAGACACTTCTAAAGGCATTATATAAAATTAAGATGATTTTTATTACTACTACTATGACTGACTACACACTATATGACTGGCACATTGGCTGACTGACATCTTCTTGGGATGCTATTCATGATTAAACCCCCCTTTGCAGCCACCCTCAATTTGAAAACTTGTAACTTGAAAAAACATCTGTGAGTAACAGACTTACCAAACAGAAAAATAAGAGGTTGTAAAGGGCATTGGTTGACATTTTTTCTGAAAAATGCTCCCTGAGAGGAGTAAAACAGAGTGTGGGGAACAAATAGAAAAGGTTAATAGCACTGATACACCTAATGGACCCAGGGCATGAAAAATGAAAAGGAAATATTAACATTTTGTTTTCCTCAAAACTCATTTGAACCACTGGAATTGTTGTGGAAGTATGTGGGGCTTGAGGGTGGGAGGCAGAGTGACTCTGTCAGACGCTTTTGAGAAAGTTCTACAGAAAGGATTCAGGAAATGTTTGTGTTTGGATTGGGAACATATGGATAAAGAATATAGAATACAGATACGGTAAGAAGAGAATGCTCCAATTTGGATGATACAATTTAATTACCACAGGGTTTTGTACCAGAACTGCTCTTCCAAATTTATATAATTGATTTAGATGCCGATGTGAAATAGTAAACTACTGCAATGGACTGACGTCCCATCCATCCTGCCTTGCACCCTTTGCTTGCTGGGATAGAGTCCAGCTCTCCCATGACCCTGTACGAGATAAAGCAGTTAGAAGATGGGTGGACGTAATCAGTAAACTAGTCACATTTGCAGACAGTATCAACATAGGTGGATCAGTACAGATGGTGAAAGCAGCAAAAAAAATGTTATGTGAAAATTGTGTCCCCACATTACAGAAAAGATATAGCTGCTCTGGAATCAGTCCATTCAGATCCATTCACTGACTGTTCATTGACAGGATAAAAGAGCTGAAACATTTCAGTCTTTAACACGGGACCAAGCTGTATAAATGGGTGCAAATGTTAGTCTCTTTGGATAAAAGTGTCAGCCAAATGCATTCATTTTAGCATTAACATAAGCAGACAGTAATGTATTCAGTTGTCTCCTTTTTCTTTTCCAAGGTCCTTCTTTCACCTTTTCACCAATCCTAGAGGAAAGCTGGATAAGAACGAGCCCGGGGCAGAGCGGGTCTCTGGGGTTCTGTCTTTCCTTCGGCTGGAGTGCATGTGTTGATTGAACAGCTCCTCCCACTCCCTCTCCACAGCATCCCGTCCGCACCGCCCGAGGGTCCGAGGGGCAGCGCGGGTGGAGAAGAAGACGAGCCCCTCCCGAAGGGCAGGACGGGGAAAGGCGGGGGCGGGGGGAGAGGGCAGCAGAGAGAGCCGGAGAGCGGTGGGGCACAAGGAAAGAAACCCTCCATGAGAACGGCCGACGATGTCATTAGCCGTATTTTATGGGACCCCTGCGTTGATCCCTCCCAGTTCGGGGTCGGCTACCTCGACCGCTTCCTTGGGGTCCTTGAACGCCCCTTCTCTGACTTTTCATGGGATGCAGATCTGTGCAGCTCAGACTGCGCGGAGGAGTTAGCCCTTCCCAGGCACAGGATACAGTATTTCACCTACAGGGGGGCTCGTGTGTGGGACAGGAGGAGCAGACTGGACGGGGTGTTTGGGTCAACTGGGGGTCCCCTCTGCCCCCCGTTTGGGAATGAAGCTACAGGTGAGCAGTGGGCAGAAAGTGAAATGGGCTTCGTTTTGGGTGTTTTTGTAATATCCACATCTTTCGCTTAACCTCTCTCTTGCCTGCCGCTGTACATTTTACTTTCTTTCTGCATGTCCCAGAAGAAGAAAAGAAGAAGGAAGAATTTGAGTGCATGGGCCCCTGTGTCTGTGTCGGTGTACCCCTGACCAAATATGTCTCCTTGGCTCGCTGTGCTCCATTCATCTCTTGTCACTTCTTGGTCAGTTGAGGCTGTGATTTAAGCATCTCAATATACCTCCACAGAGGCTGGCCAACCACAAGCAGGAAGTAGCCACCCAGCCACGGCATGTGACCAGGATGAAGCAGGAAATGACCCACAGGAAGCAGGGAATGATGGTCAGCCGAGGCCTAGCCAGCAGCATGAAGTGGGAGATTTCCCACAAAGTGCTCAAGGAACAGAAGAACAAGTACAAACAAGAGGTCCTTCTAGCCCATCTGGTACTTAGTACTCAATTGATTTCAGGATGGCCTGGGTATCTGCTTCAACGACATGGTTGAGTATCTTTTTTCTAGATTCCCATAACCCACAAAGGGGAAATAAGAAGCAAGATACTGTAGCATCCCTGATCTCTTAAGTTAAAATCATTTAGAAGCACCTCCCCTATTCCTCTGCTCAGAAACTTATATAAACTATTCTGTTTCTTTCACTAAAGCAAGCTGTTCTGTAAAAGGAATAATTCATTTCATGGTGTGAAGGTTAATAGTTCTCGTGGAAGCTTCAGTGAGATGTCTGTCCTCTTTGCAAGGATATAACCTACACTACAGTCCAAATGTTTACACTAAGATGAAGAACACTATATATATGTCACCCTTTGAGCAATATAAAGAAGAGCATATATGCACTAAATTTAGAATCATCCTTAAGAAATCAGCTTCATTTATATAAAGGAAATATTTCTAGATTTTCATTTCAAAATGACTTGTATCATTGGGAGTATATGTGTGAATGGTTTATTTAAAATGGCAAATACTGTATGAATTTATATCAAAATTAAAATTTTAAATATTTTACATTATTGTGTTTCTTAAAATAATTGCATTATAGCTGACAGATATGGTATCTATGCGTGGGGGTTTTACATAAGAACCATTTTTTTTGTCAAACGTATACACAGGTTACAGAAGTAAAAAACAAGAACCACAGAATGCCTGTGAAATAAATCTCAAAAAGATCCTTCCAGCCATTTTCTCTCTGGCATATATCGGTAGCAATGAAAAGAATTTCTAGCATATATGATTCATTCATGACTGGATGAGCAGATAGAGAAGGGTTAATACAGACATTGTGGGGCTTATCCCCTTAATCCATTCTAACTAGGGTAAGGACTCTTGTTCTTTTGACAGTTTTCACATCATGGTTTCATATGTTGATTTCATTATGGTATAAATAATTCCTCTTTGATAATTCCTCCTACAACGGTTTACTTATGGTATTCCTTCAACTCAGTCATTTCTGAACTGGTTTATCCAGTACAGGGTTGTGGGGGAGCCAGAGCCTATCCCAGCAAGCAATGGGTCTAAAACAGAACTGCACCCTAGGCAGGAGGCCAGTCCATCACAGGCAGACGCAGCCATAAAAACATACACACTCACACAAGGGCCAATTTCCCCTGAAGCCAAATCACCTACCAGTGTCTGTGAGGGAGGAGTCCTGGGAACAGCTTCCAGTCTTGTCTGTCTGTTTACAGGCCCTGAATTGGACCAAACATATCTGCATGAAATCAAATGTTAATCCAGAAACACTAAACAGGGATGGGGATGTAATGCACTGAGAAATGCTTCTGAACTGTGAGAAACATTTCTAGAGCAAAGGTCTGGATATAGTATTTTTACTATTATACTATTTTGACTATATTATTACCTAAATAAGATGGGCTCCATTTGGCTTGGATCTACAGACCCTTTCAAAAACTAGAATGGAAGAGGAATAAAAGGCAGATATAGAGGGAACGGAGTCAAAAACAGAACCCAGGGTAAAGACAAAATGTCAAAGGGCCAGGTTATTAAACCAAAATGCCAGACGTATTACATTACTACATTAGCATTACAACATTCAGCATTAGCAGAATTTATGTTGCCATCGGTATCAATGAAACATGGTGACAAATATAACATTTGTGGTGAAGGTGTGGCACTACACGGCATGAACATTTGAGACAATCATCTTAGATGATTCAAAGGCCTCAATAACTTCATAGGTTAGGCTTTCAATAAACCAATCCAAGGGCTCAGTGTTAGAAGTTTGCTATGAGCCACCAAATTCAGCCATCAATTACAGTGCAGGCTTATATCATGAAATCAGGGACATGTTTATAAAGAAAGAAGCGCTCATTATAGGAGATTTTTACTTTCCGTAGATTGGATAAAACCATTGGGACAGCATCTGAAATTGAGGAAGACATCCATGAAATAAAATTCCATTTATGTTGGAATGTCATTTTACATTAAGTACATAGCTTAAATAATGGGTTACGGTACATTTCACATTAAGATTTCATTTAGAACTTTGTGTATAAGTTTGGTCATCACAATGCAAAAACCATATGCATATTCTGCTTTGGAATAATTCCTGAGAAGAGCGACCAGATACATTTTCAAGAGTAAAGGAATGACAGACTAAGGTGAATCTTTTTAGCCCCGAACAAAAACTATGAAAGGATCAGATTCAAGCCTTTCAAAATCCTCACAGTCAAAACCAGTATACAGAATCAACAGTGAAACGTGAACACCAGGACACAAATATAAAGTAAAGGGAAATACACATAAAACTTAAGTGGAGCATAACTTTATACAGGGTTGGAATATGGACCAATCCAAGCAGCCATGTAATGGAAGCCAATACCGTTTCTGGAATCTTGCAAGAAACAGCAGGATGTGATCCTATAATCAATTAACTACTAGCAACCTAATGAGCAAGATGGATGGAATGGCTTTCTTCTGTTTTTTGTTCTTTTTTGTCCTAGAACTATTGAGGGCATGGGATTTTGGGGGTAAGGTCCTTTCCCCTGTATTTTGTTTGTGGTTCCATGGGATTGTAGATGAACCTGAACACACTGAGGGTCTGGAAGGGAGTCCATCTACCACTAGGTGGAGCTTTTACAGTTAGACCCAGCGGTGAGCATACAGTACATTCCTGGCTCCTTGTCATTCTGAACTTACACAAGCACATACTGTGCAAGAGCTACAGTATGGAAATTCATAAACCCTTGTAAACAGGGCTGTATTTCAAAGGTTTAGGTGGGGAAGGTTGTTAAAGTGAAGTCATGTAAACACCTTTATCTTCTGATAAAGTAATTCACTAGAATGTGTTGACTCAATTGTTTAGAAAACTCTGTTCCATCTGGGTTACACAGTAATCACCACATCTTGGAAGAAAATGATTTTCAAAAGGAATTCATGTAAACATACGTGCTTATTTTACTAAAAAGACCTATAAAGTAGATTAGGGTTTATACAGCTAATCTTCCTTAACTCAAGAACCTACAGTATGTGTTCCTCAATCATTTTCTTAAAATCATGTTTGTCTATGTTCCCCCAACACCCACAAATATTTATGGAGAGATGACGTATACATCCATATATTTTCATGAGAATATACAGGAAATCTGTACGACAATAATTAAAGATAAGAAAAATGTCCATGATTCCCTGCTGCACTTTGACCAGATTGCTCATTAACAGTTTGCACTTATATTAACAAGAAGCCAGAGGAGCCTTAGTACTAGTTATTTAACACAGTATTAATAGTGCAAGGTCAATTCAAAGGAAGTCTGAAGCCACCATGGAGACATTGAAGAGGTTACAGTCAGGCTGGTGTTTTCCTACTGTGGTCCTATGTGTATATGGATTCTTCACCACAGTGAAACCAATAGAGCCATTTCTGACTCCATATCTCACAGGACCAGATAAAAACCTAACAACAGAAGAGGTACAGTAAGCTTGTGTGAGTTTTCTACTGAAAAGTGTATAAGGTATTTGTAAGCTTTATGTATGTACAGTTCTCATTTAAAAAAAACAGCTTTGTGAAACAAAGTTTACATTTTTATGATATAAGTACAATTAAAGCTAAGTTGCAACAGATCATTAGACTTCTAAAACTTCATATGTTTTAGGTGTTAATTTTGAGGTGGTCTCCTGTAATATCCTTGGTCAAGCAAAAGAAAAAAGTGAAGAAGTTAAAAGATTCAAACCCTGGGATGAAATCTCTTTTATGTGAAAGATTTGCTATACTATTTCTAGATGTTTTAGAGCTTTTTTCAACAGGCAGGGGTAAATTAAATTGAGTGCAGGCGTAAGTCCTTTTAAAAGAATGAGGGGAACAAGTCGTGTGTGGTGTTTTAGGACTGACTGATAAAAGTTCAGTATCTGTTCTATTCATGTGTCTGGATTGCTGTTGCATGCAGAACTGTAAACTACATGTTATACCAACTTTAGAAAGTTGGTATGGACTTTGCTATAGACCTTAGTAACTTCTTCTGCCTACTGTTTATCGACCGTGAATATCCTGCAGAAGAAAGATGGGCATTCAATAAACCCATCTGATCATGCCTATCAATGCAGGTGACAGGATGACTTAGTGGAAGGACTGACACTGTCATGTCATATTTCAGTCTGCTTAGGACCGCAATAGCTTTGGTCTTAGTTGAGGAAATACTAAAAAAAAAACATTCTAATTCACAATGTCTGTTTCAGGTAACAAATAAAGTTCTTCCAGTGTGGACATACTCCTATTTGATTGTCCTGATCCCAGCGTTCCTGGCAACTGACTATCTACGATATAAACCAGTTATCATTTTACAAGGGCTCAACTTGATTATTACAACGTTAATGCTCTTGTGGGCAGAAGGAGTGCTGGCTATGCAGTTTACGGAGTTCTTCTACGGAATGGTAACTGCCATGGATGTGGCATACTTCTCCTACATCTACAGTGTCGTAGAATTGGAGCACTACCAGAAGGTGACCAGCTACTGCAGGAGCGTACAGCTTGTTGGTTACACTGTAGGCTCAGTGCTGGGTCAGGTCTTGGTTACTTTCAGTCTCATGTCTTATTTTTACATCCTCGTCATGACACTAGTCTTCATATGCATCGCTCTCCTTTCCTCCTGTTTCCTGCCCATGCCAAAGAGAAGCATGTTCTTCCACCGGAAGGAGACTCTTCAGGATGGAGGACAGACTCAGGCACCTTCACCCCAGCTCAGTGACCCAGACACTCCCGAGGGGGCTTGTCAAACCGACGTGGGTGGGACAGTACTCTCCAACGGCAAACACAAGGAAAATAAACACGGTTTTGTCAGCATCCTTGCACAGCTGTGGTTCGACTTCCTTCAGTGCTATTCTACAAAGCAGCTGGTTTACTGGTCACTGTGGTGGGCCTTGGCTACATGTGGATACAATCAAACAGTGAACTATGTACAGGTGCTGTGGGAACATATAGAACCCTCTCAGAATTTCACAGCATACAATGGAGGTGTGGAAGCAGTTTCAAGTCTCTTCGGTATGAATTTTATAATTGTATTACATGTTCAAAACAAACAAACAAAACAGAATACATATGGGTAACCTCATAGCTCATATTTTCCACCCTCAGACATTCATCCAATCACATTAGGACCAATGAATGAAATTCCCATTGATTACAACAATGGCTAAAAGAAATCATTAATGTTAAACAGCCTTATATTAATTTACTAAGTCTTCTGAATAATTTTGGAGGCTAACGATATTGGCCCTACGTGTAAATAAATGTTTAGGACACTGAATGCTGTATTACATATTAGGTGATCACTACTGGTTTGTAGGGGCTTGCATGAAATGTGATTTGATTCTGTTTCTTCGGAAAATTTACCTGGGGTTTTTAGTAAACTACGTTTCAAAGACGGCATCAATGGATTCTTAATTGCCTTGTTTTCTATCTGCAGGAGCAGCTTCAGCCTATGCCATTGGCTTCACAGAAGTAGATTGGACCATGTGGGGGGAACTGGCCTTAGGCTTATTCTCTGCCCTCAGTGCTGCTGCCCTGTACCTCATGACATTCACCGACATCATATGGGTTTGCTACACAGGCTACACCGTGTTTAAGGCCTTGTACATGCTGCTCATAACCATAGCCATGTAAGGGTGTGGAATATCAACTCTTTCAACACAATACAAAATAAGAACAAAGATTAAAAGGGTGGCCTAGTGGTTAGCATTGCTGCCTTGCAGCACTGGGGCCGTTCCTGGGGTACTGTCTGCATGGAGTTTGTATGTTTGCCCTGCATTTCTGTGCATTACCTCTAGGTGCTTAAACTAATTCCCACAGCCCAAAGACATGCTGGTACAGTAGGTTAATTTGTTTCTGGTAAAACCTGGCTTGGTGTGGGTGTGGGTGTGAACCCCGCGATGGACTGGCATCCCATCCAGGGTGTATCCTGCCTTGTGTCTGTTGCTTGCTGGGATAGGCTCTAGGCCTCCATGAGCCTGAAGTGGATGAGCAGTTATTGAAAATAACATGAGGGTGATGAAGTAAAGAAAGTTTTCACAGGAGAGGAAATAATTCTGCCCTTCTGACGTTCGGAACTAATTGAGGAACTCAATCAGTTTCTAGCTGTCTGTAGAAGAAGCCAGGATATTAGCTTTAACAACACGGCTGGGGACCCCCCAGAGCTCCCCATGATCAAAATCAGTCCCCTGTACTTTGTTTTAAATGCACTTCTGTGTAGCCTCTGAAAACAAAATCACATTTCTCAGTGCCTCTGTGAATTTTACTGGGATTACATATACTGGGATTAAATATAAAAAGGTAAAAAAATCCTATTAACCCAAAAATTAATGGCAAAACTGAATAAATATAATGAACTGTTTGGTGAAAGCTGTGCTAATCAGAATTGAAAATGAATCTTAATGTTGTTTTAAACGAGCTTACCCTTTAACACGCATATGAATCCTTACCTTCTTAGGTTTCAGATTGCTGCTCACCTATCCATGGAACGATACGCTTTAATCTTTGGAGCAAACAACTTTGGCGCTTTAGTTCTTCAGACCATTGTAACCGTCATTGTTGTGGATTCCAGAGGTCTGGGTTTGGACATTATTCCACAGGTATTTATTTCCATTTCATATTCAGCTCACAGTTAATACAATGACCAAGTTCTTCAGTTAAGCTCATGTTCATTAACTGCACTAAAGCACAGAAAAGGAAAAGCAGGAGCACAAAAGCTCTATGATTTTCTCTGTATTTAATTTTGACAGGACTATTAAAAGTAATTCATTGCAAAAGAAAGAAAATATAATTATTCATGCAATACAGCACATAACATGTAACGTAGCATATCTAAAAACTATTAACATTTAAAGAAGACCAATTAATAGATATGTAATGGTTATATAAATTAAAAAATCTTTCCAAAAAGCGTTAGCAAAGAAAATTCAAAGACACAGATTTGACTTGGAGATGAGCTGCTGGGTGTTTCTTAATGTTTTCAAAAATTAATCTAGGTTATTTAACACTGAAAGTCCCTAATTGTTTTACCTTTCAGTTTATCATTTACGGAAGCTATTTTGCAGCTATTGCTGCCCTGTTTCTCTTGAGAGGGATATACACTCTGGTTCACGAAAGAAGAAAACGCAAAATGGAGGAGGTGCCCAAACCCAACCAAGGACGGGATGCTGAAGACCTCGATGGGGACAACATTCTGGCACAGAGATTCTGATGCACGGGGTGTGGAACGTTGTCTATACTGCTATAACTGATGCATAGAAAGAACTTTCCTCTTAAAACAGGAAAGGGCAGGTTTTTTAAATGCTCAGTTGTGTTCTGATCTGGTGACTGAGAAGACCATGACATATGGATGATAGCGTCACCTTCATCAAGCTGTGTTTTGTCCTCATGAATACCATTCCTCCTGGCAGAAATGAAATGTTGCAACATCTGGTGAAGATACCTCAGTATGAATGCGTATTCACCCACTGTAGCCCCTTGCTGATCATTTCAGTTGCTCTGAGTTCCATATGGACATCGCCTTAGACACGTTCTTGTGAAACATCAGCAATTTTGAAATGTTTTGCATAACTAAAGCCCCACAACAATCACCCTTCTTTCAGAGTCACTGAGGTCTCCTCCTAAAGCCATGCTGGCCATAATTACTGGTGACCACTCCTGTCCAGCATTTTGATACAAGACCGTAAATATGCTGGATTATTTGCTTAATAAATACATTTGCCACACATCTGTGTGGAACCCCTTGCTTTCAATATCAATTTCTATTTTGTGGCCAATACCTGGATTAAGACTACATGCACTGTTTTAGTACCCTCAACATAGGGAATAAGGGAATTTATATTATGTTTGTTTCAAGTCTTACTCACATTTAATACTAACCACTACTAATTAGGAAATCAAGAAATACATTAACCAATTGGATTAGATGGAGACTGGCTTGCTAAATAACAAATGGATTCAAATAAGTGAAAAGATTTGTTTTAACTTTATTTTTCTTAAAAGTAAAAACTAAAAGTACAAGGCAGATGAAAAGTGCTATTACAATAAAACTAGTTAAATGTTTTAATATTTGAAATGTCACCAGGCAATCATTACTTGCTCCTATGGAGGGAAATGGGATTTAAATTCTGAAATTGAAAGCAGTGCTGTGCAGCACAGCCAAAACGTAAGTATTGCAAGAGTGCAAGATCTTTAAATTTATGGGCATTTACAAAAAAAAAAATTCACAAAACGCTTCAACACAAGAAAATGAATTGTACAGAAATACAAAAAAATTGAACGGTTTAGTTAAAATCCATTTTAATATATATACACATTAACTTAATCTTTGTAACACCCAACATATGTGGTCTTCATGTCACCACCTGAGAGACTAGATCAGAATCAAGCGCTTCAGGTTCTCCCCCTTTACCTGCGAGATGTCACCATACAATGCACAGGGTATTTCATGGAAGAAAAAACTTTTTTTTACTTGGGAACTGAATACAATCTTTATCTTTTTTTAAATATATGTCTACTAATCCAAACTTATCTTACTGATTTTGGTTATTCATTTAATTGATACAGTAACGTTCAGTAGCCCATTACTTTTCCCAGTAACATTTCTGACTTAACATACATGTGTTAAAGATACAAATACTGATATGCACAAATAGCTAAATTTCTAAGAAAAATATGTACAGTACTGCAGCATAATGAATGTGGTTTGCAATAACTTAGTATTAGCCAGTTTCAATTTACATGATGCGGCTATGAGATTCATTTGCCAGTTCACAGGTTAAATAAAGGATGTCGAGGAGAAATGCCCCCACTTCTGCACATATCTTGTTTTGTTTTGTTGTTGTTGTTGTTTTTATATTTTCATACAAAATACAAGTTTTAGAAACTTTTGTGTTTAAAGCTAACTGTGAAACAAAACAGTGCAAGAGGTGCAAAGATGCTGAGTGACCACATCCTAGCTGTTGTGTGTGCGGGCTATAAGAAGGGATTGGTAGAAGAACTTCCTGCTGGGAACTGGCCTGCAGGTGCTCCTGCCTAAGAGGAAAGAGAAAAGAGTCTTGAGAACCAGGAGATGCACGTGCACAAGATGCTTTCGATATTTACAAACTACCTGTATTTCAACCCTCAGCATTGATTTTTCTTGCAAAACAGACCAGAGACATTAAAGAAACAATGCAGAGCCATGCATAAATCAGCACCAATATTTCTATTAAGAACCTGAGATGGGTTTGCACAGCAATGTCAGGAATGGCCAAAGGACCAAAGGTTTGACATTTTGAATTTACAAACACACTATATAGATGTTATTTTTGCTTGTGACCTACTATCTGCTGTGACTATTGCCTACTGTTAAATCTATTGTATGTTAATGCATCATTGTCAGATATTTTTATATTTTGTGTAAAGAATTTCAACACAGTCAAGCTAATGCAGGTCATTAGCGTGTAACCATTAGTCCCCAGGTATATATAACGTACCATGAAAGGATTACTAGAAACTCCTGGGGCTGCCATGGATGGCCCAAATGAGGTCACCACTGGCTTTGCTTGGCCGAAGGCTCCAAACCCTGCACCTTACAAATCAGAAAGTAGAAATCATTAACCGTAATCAACAGATGGCCGCTAGACAGGCCTGTGCTACTGCGGCTCTTGTCCAGCATGGACAGCTAGTTTCTTACCGTTGGGCTGCTGTTGGTAGGCGGCCTGCGGCGGAAACGCTGCCTGGCCAGGGAACGGTGGCTGTTGAAATGTCCCACTGAAACTGGTTGGAAGATTGTAGGTAGTTGTTGCTCCAAACCCCGCGGGCATGCTCATGGAGCCAGTGCCAAAACTAGCTGAAAAACAGTACAAAAAAGTTAACACTTCCAATTATGTTTTCTTACAGAATATACATTTACCCTGCTGTATACCAAACATGTAAGGATCAAGTGGAATAACAAAAAATTCAAATATATATATATATTGGTCACAGTCATGTTCAGTTTAAAAAGACTTTTTATTCATTATTAGTATCAATTGACTAGGACTTATCTGCTTTACTTATTTTAAAACTTTTTTTTTTACACATGGACTTTACCATGAGAACAACAGGTTGTTGAAGTCCTGTTATCTTATGGTATAGGATGATGTATTCTGAGCAACAAAAATGTATCAAAGTGTGTGTATAGCTTTACAGAAGTATACAGATTTTGGATCTTGATTAAATATTTCTGCATCATTTGATTTATTGATTATTCCGTGAAGTCTGACCATAGCAAGTGAAGAAAAGCATTGAAAAGTTAATGCTGTCAATGAAACACTCAAGTGACTGCGGCATAAGTACTAAATTAGAGCTGACTGGATACAGGACATGCTCACATCCAGCAAATTCTAACCTGGCAAGATGCTGCATCCTAACAGCCTACAAATGATGGGCTACAATCTTGGAGAACACAAATTACAACCCCCCCTCCCAAGATCATTGGGGAGATCCAAATCCAGTGGTTTGGGCAAGAGTGTCTAGTCACTACTGAACTTCATTGGTACTGGTCGACAGCATCTCACTGCATTGTTACATGGATCAAGTTATCACTCGTTGCCCCTCCTGCAGGCTCATCCTAAAGAGGTGACAGTGCATGTTCTCAAGGTGCTTATGTAACAGCTGCAGTATTGTTGCACGAGCATCGGACAGTTAAATCATAGATGCCTTATGTGACAGACTTAAGCCCTAGGCATCTAGGACTCAGGGACCCATGAACAAGTGCTCTTCCAGGCTCTATGAAAGGAACAGGACAAAATCACACCAGACAGCTTCTTCAACCTGGTGCAAAGCATGAGTCAGATGTACAGCTTTTATTGCTTCAAATGTCAGACATAACGAACTTCTACCCACTTACTTTTGTAGAGCCTGGTTTTCTTACATGTTTAGACATTGTGTGCCTCAGTCTCAAAGAAATCTGTGAAGTGGGATTATGAGGGATGTGTGGGCAGTTTGCGGTTTCTGCAGGTCAGAAATGTTTTCTGTGCTAGAGTTTAAATATACATTCCTTCCAAATACATACATTTTCAATGTAGACCCTCTGTTGGTGACAAATCGTGGTCTACATAATGACTTTTTACTGTGGTAATTACAAACGTACTGGAAACTCATCTAAGCTTACAACTGGAGAATTACCTTAGTCTGTACATACCGTATACGTGCCAACTGCTACAATATAATGTCTGATCAATAACATCTCAGTGCCCATGCTACAAAAAGATGCTCAAATCATTTTCCTGATGACTTTCAATTTTGTAGTTATATGTGGTGTTCCTTTTGATGCTCAGAATACGGAAAAGTCCTTTTGAAAAAGTGACTAAAAATGCTCTTAGACCAACTTTCATAAGATAAACCCTTTCTGTATTAAAAATATTGCTCTGAAACAATATACTGGTACTTGTTTACTAGAGAATAATAAATACAAATAAAATCAATCATTAGATTTGAACAAACAAAATGAAGGACAAATGCTGCAGATGAAATGCCAACTGCATACTAAAGAAAAAAACAAGTGTATCAGTAAAAAATGAGTCAAGTTTCTGACAAAGTGTCTACCTTGTCAACCTTTTGCACAAATAACCTACATCACGAAACACACAATCTTATCAAAGTTTAAACACTTGAAACCAAAGAAATGGGAAAGGGCACTCAAGCTACAAGTACAAAGTCAACCCACACTAGCAGTATCTGCACACTAACATTTACATGTGATCATGGATGTGTTGGAGGAAATCATACGATAGTGAAATTCTGGCCTGCTAATATCCTTTTAAGATATTAAACAAATTGGAAGATATATTAAGCTATGAATAAAGTGCTTATACATCAGATGACACATCCATGCCCACAGAGGTCAACTAGGATCAGATCAGACTTCACATGCAGAATCCAGGAAAATCTGAAATGTTTCTAAGCGGTTGGACAACAAGCCACACTGATTCAGGGAATAGGAAATGTGGCCACCTACCAAAGTGAACTTGTGGAAAGGCTTGACTGTGCAGTGCTCCTAAAAGGCCTTTTTTGAAAGCCACAAAGTCACAAAAAAACAACCAAACACAGCAGTAAGTCACACAAACACATGTACAAATGATCTTTATTTTGCATTTAAAGTCAAAGGAGCAGTGTTACAGATGACTGAGATCACAAAACCATCCAGCCTTCTGTGGTTTAGAGGTGATTTTCCAGTTTTGGCGTCTTCTAAAGTTACTTTACTTTTCAAAGTTAGTTAATTCAGCATGGTGCAAATGTAATGCATTAATTTTCTTCCAGTAGACTGTTACCTAGCAAAAGTATTAATTATAATTAAAAAAGTATTCCAAAGGTTGTCAGTCAACCACTGTGTTTAAATACCACAGCACATGATTTATTAGCAAGAAGTGCATAAGCCTTATTTGTTGGCAAAGTCTTTTGGAAAAAAAATCATCTTAGAATCCAATTGATTTATAAAATCAGGCTCATATCACTAGCTAGTTTGTGTTTAATTTTATTCTAGTGAAAGTTTAGACAAAGCCTTCTATTTGGAATATCTGATAAATGTCACTTTAAGTAAATAGAAGACTGTTGTGTCAGTGAACCCGTTTATGTCAGAACACCTTGGACAAAAATCGATAAGCTCTATGAACGGCCTATACAAACTTGAGATTAACATACTGGATATGATCACTTTTTCAAGGCAACATCAAATGTTCCATTCTTTAAGCACTATAAAAACTGAAAGTGGCACGAGATTCAAGCGTTGCTTCTTAAATGAACAATTACAATATATTGAGCTACAATATTTATGCCCATTTCGGAGTGGGAGGGAGTGGCACTATTTGATCAATTTGCAAGCTATCGACTTGCTAAGTGCAAGGTGATGTTTGCAAATTTAAGTGTGAAAAATGAACCAAAAAACCAAGAGGCCTGCCAGAGACTTTGCTCATCCCCAGGTGGAAACCCGCTGTCCTTACCTGCTGCTGCTGCCACGGCAGCTCTCCCGTTGGTCTGGAAGGGGTTGGTCGGAGGAGCTGCTGGGGCGACAGCTGCTGCTACAAAAGGATTGGTTGATGGAGCAGCTTTAAAAAAGTAAAACCAAGAAATAATTAACCACTGCAAGCAACTGGCACAAGCCAAGAAGAGAACGGAAGTTGTCAAATTAGGTATATTATTCTGTGCACAATGAGGGTGCACGTTATAAAATTGCCTAAATATGATGCATTTTGCTACTTTGTATCACGGGTAAGAATAGCAAAGAAACGTCTAATCAGTCTCTTGTAAAAGCTGTCCTGGAAGTTCACGGTTCGAAAAACACAGTACAACAGAAAAATGGAATCTAATATTCCAAGTCAGCACTTGGGGAAAGTAATTTAATCTTATGCGGCAGAATCTCTGGGTAGCACAACAAGTAAAATTCAATCTTTTTTTTTTAAAAGATTAACTGCTCAACGTACCTCCAAATCCTGCCGGGATACTGGATATCACTTGCTGGGGCTGTGCTTGTGTAGGGCCCGTTACTGACCCAAAGACACTGCTGTTGTAGAGCGTGCATATCCAGAAAAGAAAAGCAGCTCAAATCATGTGTTTCAAACAAAGTATGCCAAATGGCACAAAGAAGTAAAAAAAAGCCTTTCAAATAGTATTAAATGCACGTCTTACCTGCTAACGGTAGAGCTATAGACGTTGCTTGTAGGCATGGAGGAGCAGAAGACACTATCTAGCTCAGCCAGTGCTGCGTATCGATCGCCCCCAGCTGCCAGGGGCTGGTTAGGAGCTGGAACTGCAGCAGGAGCAGAGCTGACACTGCTCACCTGAGCAGCAGCACCTTGAACACAAACGCCAGGGAGAACAGCGGTCAGCACATCTGCCCACATACCTTACACAATAACCAAGACAAACATTTGTTTTCCTCAGAGTATCCTGTGAGGATAAAATCCTTTAACTTATATAAAGACTACCACAGAGGCAACATTGACAAGCACCTGTAATTAATGTTTTCTGATCCCTCATATTAAAGGAAATATGATTCACTATCAGACTTTGGTCACAATGTCTCAAATAAAATACAAAAAAATTCAACGATAATTTTTTTTAAATGTTTCGAAATCAAGTTAATCCTGAAGTAAAGAAAGCAGAAAGAGGCAACCAACTGTTTCTTCTGCCAGGTTTAGGCAAGTTTAACACAGATTTTAAGCATCTGACTTTTTCCATTGTTTTATTCAAAATGATGAACTTCTAACAGTTAAAATATTACAAATCTGTACACACCAATATTAGGTAAAGTACATAATGTCTTGAAAATATTTTCAGAAACAACCCAGGAAGAAAATGAAAATTTATCCTGCAGAGATAGTGGCCCAAAATGTCTTTTTAAAAATACAGATTTTCACAAATTGTAAACATTGAAAAAATTAGTTGCAGAAGGAAGACAAACACCTGATCTAGGCAGCAGGAGAATGTACAGCCCATGCACACACTACATTTCATACTGCTGTTTGAACTGATTTTTCATGGCAGAGGATAAATACTCTTTAGAGGATTCCACTCAGAGCCCTGGCCTTTCATGTTTTGTCGTCAACGGTTACCACGATTCAAAGTTTTTCAATCTCCACTTCTGAGGCAAAGGATTTAGAAACTTTATAAAGAAAATAAGAGACAATTAAATTCCAATACTGTACAATTTGATGATTCCTAAACCTATGTAGGTCCCTTGGAACAGAATCTTTCAAGATGACTGACCTGAATTTTCACGCCTAGATTTCAAAATGTTTATAGTCCTAAAACTAGTTTTAATTATCCCTACAACAACAATCACACAAATAAAAAAAACGTAAATTTATAATATTAATATTAAAGTTAAATGGATGAACAAACATCAGCCTATTAGAAAGGATAAATATCAATGAATTCTAAAAACATTTAACTTCACAAGACCTTTTACATTTTTAGGGCTACAACAAATATTGTGAATATTTGACACCATGCAGGCAGATTTGTTTTTGTTACGACAGTGGTTAAGACTTTAAAAGAGAAAAAGCCCTATCTCAGTTATGACTGAATGAACAGTTGCACTTTACAGTTCTAAGAAAAACACAAAATAAAATCTGCAAATCCAAAAATACAATAAATTCATACGTCTTTCAAATTTTGACAATAATCTATATAGTCCATGCTTGAACTGCATGGAATACGCATGAGGTATCTTGAAGCAACCATGTAAATGCAGTCAATAACCACTAAGGAGCTGATTAAACATTAAACAGTTTTATACATCTGGCAAAATAACATACTTTCACAACTTGGGTGGTAATCACAATATTTTATAAGTTAATATTACACCATCAAATAAAATTGCAGCTCAAGTAAAGAAGAGTGAGATAGTTTATTTTACTGAATGTAAACTACAATATAATCTTTCTTGGTTGCATCAGTACACATATATATATATAACAAAAAAGCTTTGATATGTTAAGATATTATAGACAGTTGGAGTAAATTACCCACCTTTCCAATAATAAGCAAAATAGATTTAGAAGTGACGGTTAGAACAGAAATCTGAGTGCTTTACAAGGAGCAAAGTAATTAAAACAGAAATACTGAAATCAGAAGTGAAAATATATACACTTAGGCATCCACATAGAAACATAGCATCTTCTGTATTTATTGCAACAATGACCTATCAGAAGACAAAAAGGGGCGGACATAACAGACAGCCTCCATCTGTCCATTGTGAATAACAATGTTATTCACTGTTAAGAGCAGCAAATATGGCTTGCTTAACTGAACTTATTTAACAACAATCCTTCTTTTAAGTTCACTAAACAGTCACTCATGCTAGAAAATAGTAAGATGCCATTAAGACTGTGTGTGAACTCTTATTTCTACAGTTCCATTGATTGAAAGCTGAAGAGCTGAAGTATTCACACATTTTAATCAATTCACTACAAAATATCACCTATCACTAAAGAGGATGTGTCAGTGCTTAATAACGTTAGAAAATATAATAAAATCGGTTTAAGCACAGTTTAACCAACAATTTATTATACACATCTTGAATCAGAGGAGACAGAGGGTGGCTGCCAATACTTATGTCACCGTAATGGGGGCTAATAAAACTCTGCCCCATAAGTGCAAACGGATGAGTCAAACGGGAAAAGCAGTTGAATCTGGGAATCTCGCACATATCTGCAAGGCTTTCCAACGCCGCTGCCAAAACACATAGCTACTCTAAGAACCTTGTCCGTATAGGACATCTCGTATTTAAAATGAAACATCTTCTGCGATGCCTTTTATCTTCAGTGGAAAAATTCAGTAGGAATTTGCTGCTTTTGGCATGACTGTAATCAACTCCATAATCACTTTTCTGCACATCTAGATCTACAGCAGTTCTTTCATGTACATCTTTAATTCTGCAAAACAAAAACTGCTGCAGGAAATTTACCTTGCTCAGGTTTGGCAGAGCTAAAGATGTTATCCAGGTCAGCGAGAGCTGCGTATTTATCTGCAGTGGGGACGCTAGGTTTGTTTACTGCAGCTTTGGGGACTCCTGTTGAGTTACTCTGGGAGGAACTGAAGGCTCCAAAGTCAGCACTAGAGGATTTGGGGAAGTTGTCAAAATTTGCAAAATTGGCATTAGCTAATCCAGAGCTGCTACCTGTATAAAAAAGAAAAATTACAAAAATCATCATGAGTGGGCTGTAGCTATAGCAGTTCCCCTTCTACAGCTAGTGTTACTGTGTTGTGCATGCTCTTTGCATACAAAAAGTACAGTGAAGTATATCGAAACACAGAGTACCTGTGCCACAAACCTGGAGTTAACAACCAAAGGCTTGATAAACAGAATTCCAATGCAAAAAAAACAAACGGAGCGATCTTATTTTCATCTTAGAAGCTAGTACTTCTAGAAAAGCGGTCACCTGAAACAAACGGTATCTACTTTTCCTTCATCAGCCAACAGACCTAAAGGAAAATACAGTTCTGTATGTGTGAGTATACAGAACAGGAAGGTCGCAGCCAAAATCCAGGCTCTGCCAGAATGCTAAATAGGTCAATCACTGGTCCCCAGTGCAGCTTTTTTCATTTGGGGAAATTCGAATAATTCTACTGACAAGTCAACCTTACCGATAAGACAGTAATGAAAACAATCTCATGGTGTCACATGTAAACTCAGGGGCCAGCACTTTAATGCGATTTAGAAAGTGAGTGTCAAAGGAAATAAAATGGGAGGGAGCTCTTCACTCTATCAGATTAGAAAGTACTCATTATCTAGGACACATTTAAACCGAGCTGAATAAACTGGGCTGAGGACTAATGAGGCTTAACTCTTGGCGAGTTCCACCAAAAAAGCATCTTCACTACAGAGTTGACCATTCCTGATCAAAGATGCGGGCAGTGGACTAAAACTTGTAGGATCTGATCCACATGGTCCTAAATGCTTCTTTAGCACGGAAACATACTCATTGGCTAAAAACTGTCAACCCCACACCCTAAGAAATTCTTCATTTGCCTGTGATACAAGTATTGAAAACAACTGCCGAAAGATGGATCTTTTTTAAATCAAATTTCTGACATTTTCACATGTAGTTTCTCTTACTCTTAAAAGGAAGAGGAAATGTTTTCTGTAGATACAAGCAATAAATGAAAGAAAAATAATGCTCTTTACAGAATGAATGACTTCTGTTCCTCTAGCAGATCATTTTTTTTTAAATGGTTTAATATTGTACAATAAAAAAGCACCACTGACAAAAGATCCCATAATGCTTTCCAAAACAAGGACTCGTCACACTTTTACAATGTGTACCACTAGATGGTGTTGAAGTGTACTCTGATGTTACTCAACCTAGAGAGAACATAAGGAAAGATATGGTTTCCACTTATTTTTTTCCCCACTTTCCATTGTTACAGAACTAATGAACATTCGCCAACCCTTGGAAGAGATTTTTATTTTTTAAAAAACGAAGTACTCATTCCAAAAAAGATTTATACTGCAGTTTTAACATTCACAGTATTCCACATTGTTTTAACTGTTCTGTTACAATACTGTTTCAAAATCTTTCAATTATGCAACAATACTACAGGCTCAGGTTTAAAACATGATCTTCAGCATACTAAGGAATGCTTTTACAGACTTCTGCTGTACTACTTTCAATCATACTAATGATTTTTTTTTAAATCACATGGATATTTTAACAGGGTTATGCTACTAATGACACTGGCATTCTGATCCTAAAAATGATAGTTATAAACATTTGTACAAGTTTTTATTTTATTGACAGCGAACCAGCAACAGTCTGTGAAATAAAAAACACACCCAGCCACTGCATAACCACACCTGTGGTAAACCTTAGAGACTTTAGCTATCATTTTCCAGTAGTTAGCATAAATTTGCAGGATTAAAGGAAAGAAGACAACATGCAATACAGTCAAGCACAATGACAAAACCAAAGACAATATAAAGACATTACAAATGTCACAGGATGGAACACAGAAGTGAATTTGCCCACTGTGAAGTGGAACTTACTGTGTGCAGCCTGAAGAGGGAAAGCTGAGGTAAATTCACCAAAACTGCAGCTGGATGAAAGCGTTCTGAACGCTGGACAGCCAGAAAATTTCAGGAAGGGGTAAAAAATTAATAGTAGGACAAAAAGAAAAACACAAATGTAAAGTAAAGTTATCAAAGACAAAGATTGAATGGAAAGAAAACTCAGGCCAAGCTGTTTCACAGACAAAGCAAATGTGAAGATACATTCACACCAAACACAGAGCTGTTTTCTCACCTAGGTGGGATAGGCAGTAGATGCTCAGAAAGAGGAGCAGACAGGTGGGGGTAGTGGTAACTAAAGAGGGTTAATTTGTCATGGTTGTAGATGTTGACACGGAATATTCTTATTTTCATTATTCTACAAAAATGAACCTAAAACTCACATATGGTATATATTTACATATGTAATGAAAATATACAGTGCCAACAAAGTCTACCCATCCATTCCAAAGGAACACATTTTGTGGACTAACAGCCAGAAGCATTAAATTATAAACTCATGATTCTGATGAGTTCTGAATTATAGCAGCTGTTCCTGTAGGTCTCCTGTGCTTAGGAGTGCATCTCAAAGTAAGAAGTCAACTACAGGAAAGAAAGTGCTATTCAAAGACCTCTATAAACCTATGGAAAGGCACAGAACATTAGGTGGACAAGAAAAGATTTCAAAGGCTTGAAACATGCCTTGGAAAAGTCAAGACCTTCAATACAAAGTGGAAGGTGACTTTAAAAACCTTGGGAAGATTAGGTCATACCTTCAGAAAGGAAGACCAAGCAAGGAGGAGACTGAATCGGAGATACCACCAAGTATCCAATGGAAACTCTAAAGGACTGGCAGGCTTTAAGAATTTGTCAAGGAGTGGTAAGTGTGTACATATAAATGATATATCACGCTCCCCACATGTCTGGCCCGTTTTCATTTCTAATTACTTTTCAGAACTTTTGAGCATTTGTCTTCCACCTGGAGGTTGGGTTATTACGTGACAGTAAAGGTCAAATAAATTCCAATTCTATGCGTCTTGATTTCAGGCTGTCCAGCAACAAAATGTTCTATTAAAAAAGGGTGTGCAGATCTTCTATAGGTACTGTATATACTTTGAATGAACTGTGCACAAATTCTAAATGTACAAGTTAATATTAAGAGTAATTAGGTACAGTATTAAACCTAAGACTACATTATGGATTGATATTAAACGGTGTTCTTGACACTCTTATGAATGCAGAGGCTTTCAGATTACCAGTGCAGTGATCAAGTTAGCACTAGTTCTGCATTCTATAGTCTGAGCACTACTTTTAAAACCTGCCTCTTTAGTGCATTTAATGTGAATGTCCCTTTGTATTTATTGCAAAGGAAAACATGAAAACACAAAGTGAAAACCACTGCAGTTTCTGACCAACTCATTAGGTACAATAAGCCAGACTCTTGGAGCATCTCTAAACAGATAACCCGTCTTTTACGCACACAACTTCTAAGTTTGTCTGCTGCCAAAAAAGAAAAAGTGTAAATCATACCCTGGACAAAACTCAAGTGTCCTAGTCAATAGCAGTTAATAAATGTTAAAAATGAAAGTGAGAATACTAAGGATATTACAAGACACAAGAATCTAAAACTAAGGTTTTACCACTATACTGTGCATATCTGTAAAGGTTTGGGTGTTTTTAGGTCCAAACAGGCAGCTGTTCTGAATGGTTACCCCACACTGTGCAATGCAGCATCATTCTGTGAAATATACCACATGGCTGACCAACAAACCCATCTTAACAGTGTAACAGTGAAAAAACACTTTTCAACCTCAATGCTCAATCAGGCACTCTATTGATACGGTGGAATCACTTCAGATAAATTCCTAACATTCATCACTTATCAATATTACTCAAATCCCATTCTTGATATTAAAATGTTAAATTGTGTCAGGTTTCCTTTTAATTTTTAAAACTGCTTTGTAACACGACAGAGCTAGGCAAGAAACTGCAGGTTACATGAGTTGGGCATGAGGAAACAAAAAAAATTAGCGAGATAGAAACAGATCACCATACAGCTTTAGGTTTCCCCAGAGCTATCAGAAATGCTTGATTATGCGAGTACTGGCGGGAAGCTGGAGCTACAGATCAATCACAGGTCAGCAGTCAGAAAGACACCATTCACTTCTCTTTACCAAGGCAAAAGAACCAGAACGCACTCTCTACCTGTGTTTGGGGGCTGGAAAGGTGGCTGACTTGCTGTGGGGAAACCTCCAAAATTACCCGATGCACTATTATTTCCAAATGCATCAAAGTTTGCAAAGTCTGCATTTGCATTATTCTGAGCTGTAAGAATCACAGGGGGACAAAAACAAAATAAAACAAAAACATTAATGGTTACAAAAGCACAAAATGAGAAATTAAACAGAAAAATCACCTTTCTCTGTAAAAGATGGATGCACTGATAAAATGCATGTAATCATGCAATGAGGCTAGATTTCCTCTTCCCATTTATGTTGATTCTGTCATGTAAAAACTACTGGAATAGTCATAAAAAAGGCATGTATCTCAACAAAAGACGTTTGCCCACATCTTAAAAGGGAAGACTAAATCCTTTGTTGATTTTATTGTGCTGTTATGCCATTTTGATTAGACAGTTTCATAACAAAGCTGAGTTAAATTAATCCAGGAAACAAGCATGTTTTTCTTGTAAAGTTTACCAGCTAAAATCACAAGATCGGCACATTGAAAACACTAAACAAAGAATGAAAGGAAAGGTTTTTTTTTAATAAGCTATAACGTGCTCTTTTTATGAATTGTTTATTTGCATGTAATGGTTTTAAACAAGAGCATCTGAAAAGCATAAGAAAACCATGAGGTTATTCTAGCAGCTACCATAAAGAAAAATAGAAAATGGAAATAAATACACAAATTCAACCATTCCACCATGAGATGCAGTATTGTAGATGCACCTCCTTTGAAGTTCTAACATCTAGCAGATAAAAAAGAAACTACAAAGATAATCCCACGCTTGCCTTTACCTTATTTTAAAAAGAACATTATATGCATCAAAAATACTCAGGTTGGCTGGGCATATTAAGTGCTATTTATTGAATTTATTATATAAAACTGTTTTGAGAACCTGAGACAATATACTGAAGTCCAACAGCTAACTTAAAAAATTCAGTAAAAAAAATATTTTCCTAGCCCTATATGCTACAAAAATTAAAACCTAACTAATCCACTGAACAAAGACATTTGGGAGCATTAGCAGGCTCCTTTGAAATTAAAGATTTACAAGGCAGGTGAGGAAAAAGTGCTGTACAAAAAAGAAAGACAAGAACGACAACTAAGATGCAAATATTGTTTGGTTATCTCTACATTCTGAAATCCCCAGGCCCTTCTTCATTCAAATAATCTTAGCACTAAGAAATCAAGTGGTCTACAATTCCTGTGTGCACTATCACATTCTATGCATCACAGTGTCTCATTGACAAAAGCCTAAAAAGCATCCTAATGCAAGCCAAATCTACTGAACTCCAAACAAAGCACCTTTTCTACAGCTTACCTGTGTGACTGTTGAAATGTGCAAAGTTTGCAAAGTTTGCGGTGCCTGTGGCCTGTGACGGCGGAGCTGCGAAGATGTCTCCTCCCAGGTCACTCAGGAGGTCAAACTGTTTCTTCTCCTGCAGGGGCATCTGCTGAGGCTGTGCTTGTGCACGACTCACTACTGGGGACTGAAGGACAATCACAAGTCCATACAGACCATGTCAAGGCTGCCCTGCTCTGACAGGGGAAGGCACTGAACCTTTTGACTCGGGAACAGAGAAGGCTACAAGGGCATCTGAGAAGTCAGCCCAGCGGTTTAACTTCTGAATGACTAGTGAAGTGTGAACCAGAGGGCACAAGTGGAAACTGCATACTAGTGCATTTAAAACCGAGAATAGGAGGTACTTCTTCACAAAAAAAAAAGGGTGGTGGGAGTATGTAATAAGCTAACCACACATTCTGCTGAAGCCAATACCTAGGTTTCGATCAATTAACAACAGGATGGGATCCTGGGATAAATGAATGACAAGATGGGCTGAACTGCCTCCTCTCGCTTGTTTTTTTTTCTTATAATTTAATGTTATGTTCTTAAACACTCAAGGTAGGCAAAAAAAATCATTAAATGGTTGCTTTTTTAAATATCAAAGGATAAGATCTAATTTTCTTCAATGCACGTTTGAAAACTACACTGCAGGACACTTACAGGCATGCACTTCAACTAAAAACACATTAAAGGGGAACTGCAGTCCCAATTTCTCAGACCAGTTATTAAATCTCGGTAACAAAATAAATTCATTGACAGTATAGAAAAATTTGACAAATTATGAGAAGTTGCAAAAGTACTGCAAGTCCTCTGGTCTTGCAGTGGGCGAGAGCAAGAATTTCCAGGAATTGTGACATGATGTGGCCCTTCCTGCTCCCTAGACACAGCAATGACTCAAGTAATGTGATGAACAAGCAAATAACTACAGTGTGCATCAGACATTTCACTGCAGAAATGTTCCAATGTGACCTGCATGCAGAGTTAACAAGTAAGTTCCATTATGGCAAAACTGTCTTGAAGTTAACAGCTGTGTTTCTATGGATTAAAAGAGATGTATTCACAAGTCTGCTTGTTTACAGTCTAATAGGGCCACTTCACCTCACCAGACATTTTGTTTCGTTCTTAATCACTGGATATGGTGCCGTGCATACCTGGAATTGTTTTCTATTTTGTGATATAAATAGAAAAAGTTACTATTATTGTGGATTGTAATGCACTCATGAAATTTCCGAGTCTTTCTAACCCCGTAATATAAAATTAACATTGCAGTTCCCCTTTAAACACAATTGGTGTTATACTTCTGCTATAAATACAAGGCTTATTTTCTGGGGACTAGTTTGAATATTTATATAGCTATAAAACAATGGAGGGGGGGCATCTAAACCACAGACCTTCCTTTCAGGTGCTTAGCGTAGTGGAGTTACAGCTAGATCTAAAACCTTACTTACCTGGCTGGGCGTGCTTTTGTTCAAGTGCAGCGTAGGTGCCGACTCCCCCAGCAGTGACTTCAGCGGCCTGACCTCGGGGGTACTGCTGGTGCTGCTGGCAGAGGACCCCGAGATTGAAGCATGAACGGAAGCCACAACCTTTGCTTGTTCTGGAGGGACGTACCTGAAAGGCAGCATTTGAAAACAGATTCCTGATGGGGTGGGACGGGGGAAAAGAAATAACATCCCATTAAAATGGGCCTCATGAGGCTGCTCCTACTGTAAAAAGCCCTTACCATCTTTTCTTTTCATACTTTTCCTGAAGGAACTCTTTCACTTTCTGTGGCTCACGGAAGTCTGGAATTGCAGAGGATCTCTCATCATACAGTCCCAACCATATCTGTTTGCATACCTATAAAAATGTGATCAAGGCATAATTAATACAATTGACTTCATACATCATATATCCTGTATTTTTTCCATTCAATTCCTCTACAGAGATCAGAACACTAAAGGAAATGTTAGACTTTTACATTTAAAATCTCTTGTACTTCTTTAGTCATTCAGTATCTAGAGCTGTTCAGAAACTCAGTGGGCCACACTAGTATTTTAAAAACAGACATGCATTGCCTAAACATGTTCTTATCCAGAAGCACTGGCACACTTTTTTGGGTGCTTGTTCATGGCCGAAAACAGAATACCAGATCTTCCAACCTGCTTGCTTCTTGAGATTTTACTCTGGCCTCTTTTGAGCAGATACTCTGCAACAGGTATAGTGGAGCTATGTAAGAACCAGCCACAAAAAAAGGTTTATTGTCCTGTAAGGGGACATTACTGATCTGCTGTCCACTGAAAGAACAGTACGTGAGGCAACTTCGGCCGTCAATCACCGGAAAGTGCTGAGGCACGGATTACACAACACCCAGAGGAAATGGTGAAATGCACATGGAAGCCATTTGAATGCAGCAGTCAAAGGACTGTTCCAGATTTCAGCAAATTCCATAGCTCAAGAGGGAGACCCTCCTCGGGCAAGGATTGGCCCTGTATACCTTGAGGGAGAACCAGGAAATTCCCAGTTTTCTAAACAGAGTATATCAACTCTGTATATCAACCTAAAATTATTTTTTAATGCTGCAGTTAATTTTTTCCCCCACAGTTAAAATCAATTTGAAATAATCAAAGCCTACAGCAATATCTTACAACAAGAGGGTAAAGTCCATTTTACACTGCTGGAAAATGAAATGTGGGTGAGATGCTTATCAGGGTAAGAAACTGTATGCACTGCCAAAATAAACCACTTCCTTACTTGTACACAACCAAAGTCTGACAGGCAAAGAGTTCACTGTGCAAAAGCCTGTTTCAAAGTACTCACTCAATGTGGTTTTCAACACGCTGACAAGCACGCAACTAATCATTTTAAAGCAAAGATCAGTAATTAGAAGCTTATCAAAGTAACCAGCCTATGCACATATTAAACAATTGAAATTTTACACATATTAGCACCAACACACTGGCAGTACAAAAACAGAGCTCTTGATTCATCAGCAGAGCTGTGGAGAAACCAAAGACTAGTAAAGATCAGACATTTGGGATGAAAGGTATAGAAAACAGTTGCAAAGACTCTCACATATGCTCCATGATACTTGGAGGTTATCTGTAATAAATATTAAAGCAGATATTAAACCAAAGTGCCCAGGAACTATGTAAGGAAAGTTTCTAGATATCATACATAAGCTGTATAGATTACTAAACTAATACTGAGTGGATGGGACCAGAAGTAGCAACGTTTTGGGGCTGCAACACTACAGGCAGACGAGAAAAGAATATTTTAAAAACTTATACTTTACCAGTGTATGTACACTTCAACCAAATTATTTCTCCTAACAAATCAAGAATTGGAAAGCTAACTATTACCAAATAAAGTCCTGTCTTTTCCTTTGTTTAAAAAGTACTTCAAACACTCTTTAGGACATCAAGGAGGCTGTGTTCATTGTTTTGGCACATGTAATGACTTCACCACAGTCGCATAACAAAATGCAATGAAATAAAACCGTGGAAGACCTTGCTTCTCTTATCCCAAAATAATCTTCTTCCATTTAGAGGAATTTTAAATCTGAATCTTAAAAGAACTGAACTGAACATTAAGGCTATTATTGCTACCAGAGTCTTAACAAGAACCAAATGTGAATGCATTCCTTTGGTGACACACCTGCGCTGTCTTCTTGTTCAATATTCATCCCACTTCTCACAGACATACAAGGCTCTACACAGAATGAAAATCCACTCAGAACCCCAAGGATGCAGATTCTGGTGGCAAATTAGGTGGCACTGGGTCTGCCTTTAAAAACCATGAATTGTGGAATGATTTGCAGGGCAGTTTCCCTCTTCAGCATTTTTTAAAGATTCAATTTTTTGTATGATCTAGCAATCAGAAGTTTGTAAAAGTCCGTCATATAACATTTTCATTGAGTAGCAAATTTAGTCAATCTCACAGCAAGAATCAGGAGACACTGCAGTTCATTTTACCAAAGTTAAGAACCTTTGCTGGACAGAAATGCAGTAATTTGTTTGTAACCAACAGCCCTCAAATGGGGAAAAGCTCAAGCAAGTCAGTTCTTCATCTAGCTGGATGTGTAATACTAATAAGAGTTTATCGTTCACATTTTGAACACTAAAGCAAAGTATATTAAAAAAAATGGAAAACTCACCAAACGATTGCAGATCAATTATTTTGTGATCACTTCATGCAGCATCTGGGCCATTACTATTGAGTAACTCTGTGCCAAATATAATCTGAAAGTAGATGCCCAGCATTTCAGACATTGGGCTAATCCATTTTCATGTGTCCACCCCCTTCTTCCTATCCGGCATACAGTACCTTTATGACAAAACTATCAACACTTATCTGTCTGCACCAAGTACACATGCCAAAAACTTAGAATCACAAAGCGCAATTTTGTTGCATTCATGTCTGAAATGTATTCAAGCCTGGTGGAGTCACAAGCTACAGAAGGCATTGTGTCAAGAGTCAGCAAAGAATACTACCCACCATTCCCCCAGCAGAATTCTGCCAGTTGTGTGCCACCCCCGGAGGAACCCCAGCTCCAGGCAGCTTGTGACATGATCCAGGCTCCAATTTACAACACCTGAGCATCTTTGCTGACTGAACCCCTGGGGAGCCCTGCTGATAATTCTTTTATAACACTAGATGCACATAATCCACACTTCATCACCACCACTGCACCATACATTCAAGAATTATGTATAAGGTTTTGTGTGCAAAACATTGAACAGAAACAGCTTTATATAATGAACTAAAATTTAAATGAAGACAACACTACTGTGTGAATTCATTTTTTGCAACTAAACAATTTCCCAGTGGCATCATCCTTCACATAGTCTAGCAAAGATACCAAGATAATCTAACCTTGCTGTCATAACCTTGTTAAAAGCACAAAGCTACAGGGAGTAAGGCTCTAAACTAGGCAAATGTTCAGATAAACCAAGATGCAGTACAAAGCATGAGAAGCATGAGTATACTGAAAAAGCAAACAAGATAAAGATTATGGTGCTTTTACATATCTGAACTAAAGACACCTCCTCCACTGTTCTAGTTACTCAGTCTTGTGATCATGTTGAGCACATAGCAAGCCAGCTTTTAACTCATCTCAACAAACATAAACTTAGTTATATGTGAATCTTCACATGCAAATGTCAGTTTAAGTTAAAAAAGCATACCACAATATACTCACTTATAGCAGTAAATAAAAATCACATATTGATTATGACTGGCTATGTGAGGTGTTATGAAATTAAATTTACCAGTATGGAGTTATGTGCTTTAGACTATATAATTCACAATAAGAAAATTAATATGAAGAACTATAACACAGTATGCAACAGGAAATGCAACCCAATAACAGTATGCATTGTCTTATTACTCAGAATATTATTAAATTGCGTTTTTGTTTTTCATAGCTGAAGGATAGCTCTGCTAGATTCAGTGACTCAGGGTGTGTCCTGTGCAGACATGACTCATTTTGTACTCCTGCCCCAGAAGGCATTCAACGCAAGCCTCACTCCCTACAGAGTAATCAATCAGAGACACATCCAGCTCCAACAATCTATGCACTTACTGGGCTGGGCAGCCATCATTGGGTCTATTATTAAAGTAGACTAGCTAAGATTTCTAAAGCATTCTTGTTATTTTTAAAAGTATTAGAACTGATCAGATCTGCTTACGTATTTAAATACTTTTGACCATCTATAACAGCATTATTTTAGAAATGATAGATTTTTATCAATTCAATCTGTCCAATAGAATTGAATTGCTGGTTTCTTTTAAGTCTTGACCTACAAGAGGTACAAATTCTAGCCAGATAAGAGATGCACACAGAAATGCAAATAAAATCAATTTTAGACAATATATACAAAAACTCAGTTCCAGCGATGCTGTGAAGCTCCTGGTACTGAAGCCAGGATTCACAGTGAATCTGTTCCAAAACAGCTTATTCCTTTGAAACCTCTAGCATACAGGACATGTGCAACAGGGGGTCTTAACAGTAAAAAAAGCTACAAAGCACATATGGATCTGACTTGACTTTTAACGTTGGCCTTTTATACATTTGTTTAAACACTACACAGATAAAATACCAGCAGTCAAAGACCAATCTGTGCCAAAACCTGAATGGGATATACTATTTTATCAAATACAAAACTTAGTTTACTAAATTTACAATTAAAACCAATAATCTAATTTTCAAAATCAAGCATTTAAATTATGGGAAAATACATTTTAACAACTTTTAAAAATCTGAACTTCAAAAATTAGATACTTTTGTATCAGTTCAAATGTTTATTTACAGGAAAGTTTCTTTACTATACAGCCATATTAAGTGTTCAGCACTTGCAATGAGCAAACAACAATAACACTAGTTTAATTCAAGATAAAACAGAAACCATGGTCACTTTCTGAATTCTTGACAAATAGCCCTAGAAACAGCAGTGTCATTTTTTCCTCTCCAAGACCTCCAGTCCTACTGCTAATTCACAATGTCAGCAATCTTAGTCTGCATAAATTATACTTTGATTTTAAAATCATATCACCCAGAAAATGTATCAAAGCTATTACATTTGACAACGAATCTGCTCCATTTTCTGTATTTTCAGTATAAAGTAGTGCACAATAAAAAGGTGCACCTTCCACTCCTTCATGAAATAGACCTGCAAATCACCTCAAAAGGCTATATATCAAAGCACTGTAAGCTTATGATATATAATGGATTCATGTATGAAAACTGCGCAATAGGCTCACATACTTATTTGCAAGTTAACAGCCTATCAACATGACTCATTTCCCTCCATTCCCAAGTGTTGAAAACACAGGCAATTAACATGCACTGTATTTCCTCGCTTCATTAGTACTGTGGCTCTCTTGTGTACCAACAACCAAACACCATACCCTTTCAAAACAGCACCAAGAAGCATTCCAGACATATTTCACTTCCAGTTAACTTTACCGCAGAGAAAAGCTGAACAAGATAACCTCTGAAGGTCTACGTTTCTATTTCTACTCCGCTGTGAGGAATTCTGTGGCATGTCAATGCTTATCCCATCAGAATGACCTAGAAGTGAAAACGAAATCTATAGTGCCAAGATTATTTTAGAGAACATCCAATGCTACATCCATCACTGCATTCCCAGGAGAGGTAATGGTTCAGGCTCCTGCAATAACAGATAAATATAACCGTAGGATTCTAAATGCAATTAAGGGAACAAAGAACTGTGCTGTAGGAAACACAAAGCTTGTATGTAACAGATGCATGCAATTTTCCCATAATTTTATTACCAAAAATAAGATTAATAGATTCCACAATGAACTAATCCTTTCGCAATCCATTTCTAGCTTGACGGACATGTACTTATCTGGCAGACAAGCATGTATGCTTAGAAATATTTTTGATAGAGTGATTACACTTCTGACAATCCTTTTGAATCCTGAAGGGGTCTGAAGAAAATGTGTAATACCTCCCTTCGCCCTAAAGAATACCCCTGTTCCATAACTATCTGCAAAATGTGCAGCAGACCTATTGGAATCAGTGTTCATCCTTGCAAATCTCAGTTACTTCTCTCTCCACACAAAACTGGCCAAAGCATATGCAAGAAATAACTATATAAAATGTTTTGCTCAAAGTCTCTAAAATAGTATTTAGAGATGGCATAATGTGAGCAGTGAATCCAAATTCCTTCTGCAGCAGGCTCAGTTATTGCCCCATGTAGGAATTAAAATGTGCAGTACAATGCTGCATAGTTTGTGAAGAAAATGACCCAGCAGAAGTTTTTCTTTCTCATTGTTCCCAGTGGCTTGTGGGACACAGAACAATCTTTTTGAACCAGATGGCTTGACCACAACATGACTAATCAAACTATCATGTAAAGAAGAATAAAATGATCAACAAGAGTGAATCTGCTGTGCTGTCTAACAGTGGATAACCATAATGTGTGCACAATCCAAGCAAGCTTGCAGATTATGGTCAATTTAAGAACCTCTCTGAGGCATGGTAGGTATAGTTCTTTGCCTGACAATACAGGTCAGTACCAGGGAGAAGGATGTGCTCTCTTTTAGAAGCTTCCTCCACATCACTTCTGTCTAAACAGGCTGTCACCTTGACATCTGCTCAGGCTACATTCCATAGTTCCCTTAAGGCTCAAAGAAAACAAAATAAACAGCCACAGCCTCACTGTGAGAAGGTCCTGTCCTGAGGGTTATTATTTCAGCTTGTTATAAGGTCAAAATCCCAGATGCTCATTTTTTTGTCCGTCTTTGATATAAATGCCTGAAACGTACACATCCCCACTAAGTGAAATAACCAACACCGATGGGACATCTGGGAGCTATAAAGAATGTAACATGTTATTTATTGGTAATCATTATCAGGTGTTTTGAATGCAAGCTAATCCAACGGGATCAAATGTTGTACAGATTTGTTTTTAAACTATTCGATCAACTCGAAAACTGTGATAGTCTTCAGAAGTGTAAAAGCCAACACAAAGTTCAAATGAAACCTTATCTTGCAGAAAACAATAGCGGCCCCGAAGAAGCAGCTGTGCAGGAGTGAGTGGAGAGGAGAACAATGGCAGGTCTTCACAGCGCAGGCTGTCCAGTACATCTGGAAGCCAGGGACTCACGGTACATACCTCATTGCCATGTTTCTGCAGAAACTCGATTTCCTGCTGTGTGAAGGTAGTCATGGAGATAGACTTAACTCTGTGGGGTGGATTCAGGCCCCGTCTGAGGGAAAAGAAGAAATAGGTTTATTATTTTATGTCACAATTGTTCCACATAATTTACATATGCAGCCCTCAGTTCTCAGAACTCAGACTAGAAAGTTCCCTTCCTATCACAAGCTGGCAGTGTTAGAAAACATGTCGAGGTGTTTGCTTACTAGTCTAAAGTGTTTATGAGAAAATTTGGAGCGAGAGCACAAACAGGCCTATGTGAGAAAAGTTACTATGCAAATCTGCACATCTGCATAACAGGAAATGCAAGCCTGTATAATTCTGATCAATGGCCTGCTCTTAGCCTGTCCTCTCAGTAAGATCAACAGCCAAAAAAAAACTATCATACTTCTCCAAAATACTGTTCTGCAGCTCTTGCGGTAATTGCATTCTAATAAACACGCTCTGGGTCTCCTTCAATCTGCTTCACTATTTCTTCACAGTCAGAATATTGCTAATCATTTGGTGCTAGTGACTTAATTAGCCAAGTGTAATCACAGTCTTCCATCCGCAATTAAAAGTGTCAAAACTGTTCAAATAAAAAAAAATGTTGCATTTATGTAAAAATAAATATTCTCCATAAACGTACCAAAATGCAAAACATTTCTGCCACCCTACTAAATTCCCCCGAATCTGATGTCACACCCCCAGCAGATTTTCTTACCCAGGACCCACAAAAACTCAAGAGAAGCGCCTTGCAACACGGCCTTGACTGCAGCACTGCAAGTCTCCACCACCCCCACCCCCCCCCAGCGACACCACGGGTGTTATAAATGAGATCAAGACAGGCCGGACGCAGAGATGCCAGGGGAGAGAGAGTACAGAGACTCCCAGTGCAGCAGCAGCAGCAGCATCTTTTTAGCGGGGCTCAGACTGGCCTGCCAAGATCACGTCCACCACTGCAACAGTCCTAGATAAAAGTCAACCTCTAGTAAGAGCAACAGGCAAAAACAATCTCTGTCGAGTTAAGTGGTCAAAGCAGAAGGTTTCTGTTTTCAGTCCACCCCTGGACACTCTCAAAACAAAGTTCCTCCCGGACAGAGTGCTCAAGTGGACGGCAAAAACTAGTTTTATATTGCCCGAGAGGAGTCAAATATTCAGTGTAAAGAAAGTTCAATAGACTCACTCGTCGATGGAACCTTAGTGGTAGGATTTGTATTATTCGAGACATTTGAGACTGGAAATGGCTTCATCTGCAGCACTCAAGCCCCTGTTGCAGATAGGGAACGGTGTTTAGGGTTGATAAGAAGCCTGCAATAAGCCAGAGGAAGCCAAGCCAAGCGCCCTGAAACCACATTCTGGGTGTGCAGACAGCCTGCCATCACTGGACCCTGCAGACAGGCGCTGCTGAACGAGCGCGGAAGTACAAAAGGTAAGAAGACCCTGGAAGCTCTACTACGATTACAAGGCCTGGAACGAAAGCAGATCATCCTCATTAAAACGGTTTGCAAGAATATGAGACCCTCTGGCACTCCACTGTGAAGAAAAAAAAAGTCAACTGGCTGTAAAAAGGTTGCGATTGTGAAAAACAGTAGGATGGGCAGAAAAGGTCTTCTGCGATTGTGTAACTTGTACTGAAGGCCAGATCTGGTCTTATTGCTTAATTGCAGGCATCCGATGCATTCTTCCAATTCATGACCTTACAGTCATGCAATCTCATGCTAAAAAATAGTCAAGAAAAATACAGTTAATAACGGTCCCAACCAAGTCAAGGTTTTTACTAAGATACAATGTTGATATACTGTATATGGATTTGGTTGAAATGCTCAGAAATTTGTGGTTGTACATGACATCATGAAAACGGAAAATGAACAAAGCCACTAACATCAGAAAAGGCGTGATTCCTTCAAAAGGAAACCAGTGATTCAGCATGAAATGCTCTAGTTTTCCTCAGGGAAAAAACGCACACAAACACACGTTGCGCTGCAAGTTTTATATCTATTTTATCCATGTGTATTGGTACATATTCGTGTGTCTCAATCTGTTTGGGTCCTTATTTTCTCCTTAGGTAGCAGCAAAAACCTTCATGAACAACCTGGGTACTACAATAGCCCCCTGCACCACAACTAACATTTCTAAGAAGTCAAGGACGAATACACTTGTGGAGAGAAAGGGAGCATAGTATGAAGTACAATCAAAAAATGTATGCTGTCACTAAACTATAAACAATTCCTTCTGCTTTTGAAGCAAAACGAACTACGGGCCTCTCTCTCTCCCTGACACTGATTAACAAGCAAGTGCCAAAAGGTTCCTTGTGATTCATCCAGACTGCTGTCTACAGAAGTAGGACAACCCTGCTGCAAAGCACACAGACATGAAAAAAAATGTTAATTCACGTCTAGCGTATGACAAAACGTTTGAACAAAATACACAGAACCACTTCCAGGAACCATCCAGACAATTCCTTAATTACAACTAGGATATACATTAAGGTCATCAAAAAAGTTATCTTATACTGTAGGCAATAAGTGTACTATTGTTATTTTGCTTACTTGATTTATATAACTTTTAAATTACTGTATAATAAAAGTATTTTTAATTTTATCGTTGGCTTAAATGAGTCTGGTGCAAGTAGTTAGTGGAAACATTAAATGAACCAAGCCACTAACATCAGGAAATGTGTGATAACTATCACCTTTAGTGTTTGAGTGAAAATAATACAACCTATAAATTATAATTATATAAATATGATTGTAGTAATTATAATTGTAACTTTAAAACGGTTATTTTCACATGTATAATCCTACAATGAATTACAAATCATAGTTAGTATCCAGGAACCACTGGACAAAGGCCTAATGTACAGACTGTCTGTGTACACCAAGATTCAAAGATTCAAAAATAGAGTATGTACAGAGCAACAGCAGGATATCTAAATAATTTTGAGAACAGACAAAAATTGCACAGCAATTTTCCATTAAAACAGTAAGAACTGTCAAAGAGTAAATAGAGTTTTCTATTGAATTCAAATACAGATAATCCTATGCTACTGAACTGTATTCGTTTGACTACTGAAAACATAACTCTTCCAACAAGACAGGAAGTATTCAGATATAGATAAGGGGTTAATGCTCAGACTAGGGTGATGGAATTAGTCAAGTTCCAGGGGGATCAGTATGAGGACTATTGCTCTTCCCAATTCATAGCAATGATTTAGATTCTGTTTTAGTTTTTCAACTAGTCAAATTTGCATAAGATACCAGAACATTACCACCAAAATACTGCAGAAGTAGCAAATGAAATTCAAAATATTTAGATAAAAATCAAAACCAGCGAATCACCCAACAGATGCTGTTTAATGTAAACAAGTAATTTGTATTCAGGTCGTAAACCATAAATATGGGAAAGGAAAATGTGAAACACTAAGTTAGAAAAAGAGTAGGTGTTTGTCACATTTACATCTTCAAGGCAATGTTAGGAAGCAATAAAAAAGTTAAACAAAATGTTACTATAGTTAAAAGCACAGAACGTATATCAAGAAATGCTATATTAAATAGTATAATGTACTAGCAAGGCCTTATTGAGAATACTGTGCACATTTTTTGGCATCGCATTGTAGAAATGTTAACATTAACTAGGAACTAGTCCAAAGAAGAGCTACAAAATACATTCTTGAACTTCAAGAACTACACTGACAGACTGAATGAACTAAAACTTTTAGTCTTGAAAAGAGAAGATTATGACAGGACCTGGTACAAGTTTTAAACATGCCAAAAGACTGATAAAGTCAACAAAGTGGACTGCTTTAGAATCAACAGTACAACCCAAACCAAACGGCAAGTCGAAACTATGCAGAAGGGCACAATAACAGGAGGCACGTCTTAGGGTTGTAAGGGGGTGGAACGAGTTTACCAGGCCTCCTTGAAGAAAGAGGGGGATCCTTGGATTAATAACCACACAGGCAGGTCGGGCCAAATGGCTTTCTCTCATTTGTAATGGTTATTCATGTTCTTAGAAAAGGAGATTAATAATAGAACATAACAAAGGCGCAGCAAACGTGCTAAATTAATACTTCACATAGATTTGTACAATGCATCGATAACACGCCCCAAATAACAGAACGAGAAAAATGATTCTGTAGCATCACAATGCACTAGAAGACCTCAATTAGAATACTGTGTCCCCATAATGCAAGAACAAAATTCTACTTCCAGGTCCTACAACCTGCTGCTGTTGCTCACTTATTTAGTGCCCCTCGATGCTTTTATCCTATTTCTCTGTGTATACAGTAAAGTGCATTGTATTACTGCATTGTTTCCAGCACTAGATAACTGCACAGTACTACATAAATTAATAATTAATCATACATTAACTTTTCTTTCCCCCATATATTTTTAGTGGTTCATACTATAAACTTTGAAGATGCTTGGGGTTGTAACATTGGAAAAACAGAGTGAGTTTCAAAAACTCAGATTATTAAAAGCAAATCTGGAATAAACAACTTCCACTATTTTTTGAGAGTTCCACGTGCTTCAAGCTGAGTGAACATGGAAAGAGAATTGTAACAGCACAGGCAAAAGAGATTTCCAAGAATGAGACACCCTGACGATGCATGGCTCACACCAGCTCTCTCCCATGATCTACACCAAGCGTGGCAGTCTGCGATAATCCAAGGATTCAAAGCTGCAGGCGTGACTGCTTTATCATCTCGGCACAAAAGGCACTCTTCTTTTTCTGATCCACAGCAAAACCCAGCAAACACCAATCAATAGACTTGTATATCTCAGAATTGTTATCCATTGCAGACAACACCCAACCTCCCACCATTAACTGGAAAGTTACTAAGTCTTTAGAGGAGAATTTAAAAAGACCTACATCTTCCCTCTAGATGAAATGGTTTGGAAAAACTCTCTCTGTACAGTCACCTGAAACCTTATTAGATGTTAATGAACAAATTCAGCTTCACTACTAGAGTGAGAGACACAGTACTCTAATATTAATACAGTATTGTAGTTGCACCTTGCTCAAGTGACTGTGCCATATTTCAGACTACCTGTTGACTTTCTCCTCCCA